TATATATAACGAAACAAATAGCACGCGTGTAATATTTTAAAGGGTCTCACTAAAAAATTCTGGGAACCGTAAAATCAAATTTAGCGAAAAATGAGGTTTCCAAGCTATAACCGAAAATACGATAACAAAATTATTAACAGCTTGTCCCTCATTGGGCAGAAAACCCATACAAATCTCGTGTTGGTTAATTAAATTTTATCCTCAAATTTTCCTGTGGTGCCCATGCGTGCGTATACAGGTAAATTTTTGTACATATTGTAACCTCACCTAGGAGCTATGTGATGAATCTTTTCGAAGGCATGTTGGAGCATTTCTTCTTCGGTAGCAAACGTCTCACAGCAGATCGGACAGACAAGTTCAAAATCGGCAGGTACTTCGTCCGCATGAACAAACTGATAATCGGAGAGATCTCGGTAGCCGCCATGCTTGTAGTGCTGCAAACAGCCTGACAGACGACCTTGACCTGAAAGTCAAATTCATTTTTTGACAATGTTTAACGCTCTTGTAAGCATGATGTCGTTAACCTATTTCATGGCAAATCGTACTCAATTGATACGACAAAAATATACTTGAGACTTATGGCTTAGCACGTACACTCAACTTATAAGAATTATTTTGGAATTTTGTTTCCTTGCAGGTATTACTTTCATACATTAACATTTTTTGAGTAATTTTGCAGGACTAAATAATTCTTTCATATATAATTCTAATCACAGAAGCATGCCTCACCTGTATTGTAATCGGCAGCAAACTCAATGAATGTCGTGCACACCTGACCAATCTGTCGATTTTTCCGAAGCTTTCGATCGTGAGCGCATACGTAAATGACGCGCAGCTGTTTTGTCGATGAGTTGAACGTCTTATAATCAGCCCCGAACAAGTAGTTAGCATAACGTTGAATCCGCTCAAACTCGTAGAGTATGTGGGCCACACTTGCATACGATCTCTCGAACGTGACCAGCTTCAACGCGTGCGCGAGATTAAGGTGTTGTACAAGTGCTTTTTTACTTCGATACGCCGAGCTGCATTTTTCTTCACCACAAGAGTGTTTCTTGGAAGCGTTGGATACAGTAGCCTCGTACGGAGATATATGTGTACTCTGCCGTGTCCTTCCAATGGGCATATAGTGAAGAAGTTTGCCGTTAACCAAGTGAGTCTCGCCACGGATCGATTCATCTTCCTCGTCGAAATCTTCGTCCTCCTCGAGGTAAGCGGTAGCCTCACTGTCTTCAACTTCTACCTCATCATCGGGATCATCATCATAGCCTTGAATAATATGAATGATCTGGGTATTAGCATCGCCTGCGTGCTCCGCTAATTCCTCGCCGGCTTCGACTGTTTGTACGTAAAGGGTCTGTTCACCCTCGGCTGACACCTCATGTGCTACATCTTCATGTTCGTTCTCATCAGTGTCCTCGATTTCGCCGTGCTCGTGGGCGGATTCTTGGCTAATTCTACCTGGATCCATTATTACCTGTATGAATTTCAAGAAAAATGTTGTAAGGTATCAATGAATATGACAATATTTTGCATGTTCTACTACCACGTAAGCGTTTGTGATTGGAGAACATTAGGTTGAAAGAACCAAAAAGAATAATAAAAAAAAAAAAAAAAACGTTTAGTGTTATTACTAAATGCACTAGTGCAGCTAGGATTGATGTAAAACAATTGGGTAACCAGCCGGCACAATATTTCAGTCACACACAATTCAGTGTGTACGTCCAATTCAGTGTTCATATTAGCAAGTACTTTTTCAACCCCAATTTACTTCTCAAGTATAACTTGACTTTGTTGTATGTGTCACAGTCCTTTAAATCCTGCATATAGGTTTTCTCGCATGCGAATTCGTGCTACACGCGAACACAAGTCTGAAACAGCACGTATGATGTATGACATAAAGCCTATTTATAACGAGTCTCTGTATAGCCCCAAGTATTTTTGCGGTAATATCATTACTGCTTAAACTAAACCACTTAGAGAATTCTGGTGTTTTAGCTTGTTACCGATGTGATCTTCGTCGCATCTAACCCTTTTTGAAACGAAAACTACAAATTGGGTCAGTGTGCATAAGGCATATTTTTAACGTGATGATTAGATACTAGGGTATATATGCTAAATGCTTACTGCCGAGATAAAGTGAACTCAAAACACTGGCGAATAGCAAAATTTATGGCCCACGCACTGAAAGAGCACAATGGGTTTGGCATCCTCGGACAGCAAATCAGTTGGCAGCCTCGTATTACTCACTTGAGCATCATAAATGTTACTCCCAAATGCTTGAAAATATTTTTCACGTAAATTTTCACAAACACTGCCATATACGGTCCGTTCAGACACATCCGTTTAATTCTCCACTTTGTTCTATCATCTTCAAGCCAGATAGAGCAATGTCTCATCCGAATCTCTATCGAACAAATGATCGACAATTAAATTTCAGACACACACAGGTTGGGATCTCTGTACTACAAATAGAATAATAGCCTCATAATAGCCAGTTCACATAAGTCTTTTAAAGCCTTTGGCATTGATCCAAACAATAATCGTTGCAGTAATTCGTCTCGTGATTATTTGATTTTGCTCTCAGCTTTTAGGACACATGCCTTTTTGCCACTCCAATACACTTTGTAGTTGCTTTTGTACCGTCATGGGCCTTTCGAGGGTCGAGCAACAATAGAGCCATCTCTGCTAATATACGACTAATATAGCGATCATTCACCAGGTTCGATTATTATGTATTTCTGCTATACGTAATGTATGTTTTGCCGAATCGAATGTGACATCTTATCATCTTGTCATCTTTTGCGCCTTACGCATATCTTCATATTGCTAAGGGTATACGAAACTGATTAGGTTGCGGTGTATCCAATGCTGTCCCTGGGGGAAAGGACTCTTCAATAATACGATGAGCTGAACCCAAGCAAGCTCTAACAAAAATAAATACTTAGGTTTGCTCTGCTCAACTATACTTGAGCCTTTGTTCTTCTAAACAGGTATCTTAGAGGAACTTACTTAAATGTGAAAATGAAAGTCTAAGTTGCACATCTAACTGGTCTCTTCCGATATCCAGCAAATAGCAACTGAAAAAATGGTAGACCAGTATTCGCGCTTCACTAAGCGCAGACAGCAGATTTTTTCTTCCTACTTCGTGTAATGCAATCTGTGTGCACCCTACCATGTCCCATCAGACTTATCGAGGTACACTTTGCGCCAAATGAGGTTCATACTTTGCTACACATTTAATGTCATAGCAATATTTGTTGTTTCCAGGATTTCCGTCCTTCCCTCAGTTAATGGCTCCCGTTGCTTGGATCCTAACACAGGCACTCTGTTCTAGGGCGTCACCCAGCGGACTGTCGATATAATAAGGCCCTTTTTTCTTCCCGCTTTTTAAAATACATTACTAAGATTAAGCAGGTTGGAAGTTTGGCGTGCATCTCAAATCTTTCGAATAAGCAAGAAGAAGTGTATGCCATTCAAGATTATGTAACGCAAGCTAGTTAATGAAGCTTCCGTTGCTGGGGTTTAAAAAAGAAATTACATGAAATGTTCGTTGAGTGTATTTGACAGCATACGAGTTCTTTGGTGATCATAATAAAGTGTCGCTGCTATAACTTATGAGCACCATTTAAAGATACAAAGGAATGCTATTATCCAATATCTGAACCGATGCAAACGTGATATTAATATGTGAATTTCTGTTGAAGTAAATATCATACTCAGCACTTTATTCACCCAACGAAAATGACGTCAGATAGTCGTTTGAGTGATATATTTGACTGGTTGGTTACCCATGTTTCGAATAGTTCAGTTTTAAAAATACCTCGTCTCCCAACTGAGTTCTACAGGTCTGAAGGTCGGAATCGAGGTCCAAAGACAGCACAACCACTTCCAAGAAGCCGTTCATATGACACTCGGGGACCGTCCGATATCTTCAACAACAAATCCTGTATAGAACAATGCTAAAAACAATGCGGGCGACTTTAAGGGACGTTCCACATGTAAACGGTGTACAAAGAGCATTCGAATATAGTTTTCACTTCTTTTTAATCGCAGCTTCATTTTACCCCAAAAAACTCGAAACGCATCGCTTCGAAACACCTTCACGTAGAAGTGACCACCAAAATAATTATTGAAACTTTAAAGAGTACTACACGGCCATCAAACAATAATGCCCATTAACATATCGTACAAACGGAAGTTATTCGCATTTTTCTATGACGTATTCTATGACAATTCGTGTCTCTGCCGGACTACCCTACATCGCTCCAGTGAGCTATTAGGCTCCAGCCATAAGAAAAGGACCACTAGAACTTATTATATTGGCAGGTTATGACGCGAATATGATGTGTTTATATATTGACACTATAAGCAAGCACTTCCCAGGTTAACCCAGTGCTTCAACTCGCACAGTTGTACCATGAGAACTGGAGTTCTTGGCCCCACTTTAACTGCAGCAAACTTCCAACTAATCTGAATGGGGGCGTGATTGTATTCTTGAAAATCTTGAGTTTAATATAAAAAATAAGAAACAGGATGTGGATTTGAAACAATATTAGAATTAGAATAACAAATTTAATCATAAGACACTAAATAAATGTTTCAGTGTTACTCCAGAATGACGGTTATTACTTGGCGATCGAAGGTAACATTTGCTCTGTCCGTGATAGGAATTCATGCAGATATTCTATTATAGACTGCATGGTAGATACTGTACGGTTGAGAAGCGCCAAAGCTTCCTAAAGGTGCTCATACTTTTTTAAGAGTGAATTTACGTGTTAAATTTATTCAAGATTTTAAACTAAGAATTTTTAATCGGTCAAATCTTTTAATTGACTGACCGTTTCAGCAGCTGTGAGTGAACCTTAATAGCGGTGATCTTGTTAGAAGGCGGCCTGACTCTGCAGGACATTGGCCCAAGACTTTTATTCAGGTTGCGTGACCCTTTTCACGCGTTATAGATTGTGCACGCAGGCGCCCTATACCTGCTGGAGTTTAGCAACCTGTGTAACCTCAAAAGCTTATTCAGTACAGGCAAAAAAGCTGAACTTCCGTATTCCATAAGGTAGACGCCCAATTCATAAACCATGGTCTATGTTTATCCTACAAAACATAGGTTCCCTATTGCTAATGCCAAATTGTTTGGTTACAGAGTGTGTTGATATACGACGTTTTACGGTTGTCTTCACATCGTATTACGTAAGGTATCAGAATCCTAAAATATCAACGGTGCTGACTTTCATTATTAACTATTAGCTACTACTAGCTGACTTTCATTATTAATTAACAAAATAACGATAGCTTTATATTTTATGCAGATACATCACACATTACAATAACTTCTTTAAGTCAAATGACGTGTGTGTTTTGTTCACTTTTTTCTCTTTTAAGGAGCTATTCTATGCAATAGATGAATTCCTTGGCATCTGCGAAGCCTATATTAAGCGATTGGTGGCTTTCTGCCTATACTCAGTATATTAAACGAATTATTTATAACCGTACAAATTACCTCAGCAGAGCTCCATTTCGTGTCAATAAATTCAACATTTCAGTATTAAAAGCATTCGCTAGATAGGTTTTATTATGGGCCCACTGATGATAGCACTAGGACCTGCAATGCTTGCTGTCAGCAAAGCGAAATAACGCTATGCCCCTAAAGAAGTTATACTTAAATTTAGAACACTTTAAATACAAACGATCCACGTGCGCGAACCATTTCTGTGAAAAGATGGAAACAACTCTCAGCTACTATCAAACCACCATTTTCGGTATTTGCTATCATAGCGATAATTAGGTACAGCAGGTAGAAGAAGTAATTTTTGCAAGGCTCAATCGAAGTCAGTCACCTACGCAGCAGGGAAAAACGTAATGGAGACAAACGAGTGCATGTTTTCTAAAAATAAGCTTGAGAACTTGTTTTTAGAAATTGGCTTTATCGTTTGCATTTGAGAACTCCGCCCCTTATAAACCTCTTCAAAGGCATAACGATGGTAGGTGGATCGACCTACGAATTCTTTGTACAAGCCATTCTTTTCATACTCGCTCTCCTTTTTGCACGGACAAATGTTTCTCCAGATAGATTTAGCGACGGAATCTAGATAATATTCTCCACCGTCCGTGCGTTTTCATTTCTCTGAGACTTCTGTGTTTAACAGTCGGACAGCCCCGTCAGTTAACCGTTCATTGCTAAGAGTTCCGCTGGGTTGCTGACACTATTACAGGCAGTGCTGCCTACTGCCAATTCCGGACGTCCCGAGCGATTAGCGCTCGAACATCCGAAAAAGATCGCACTTACAACACAGGCTAAACAACTCACCATCTGCTGCTGGCCTTCGTTGTAATGCAGGCGTTATTTCGTCTCTTCTATAGTGTTTCTGCAGAAAAAAATTGTTTTCTGACAAGATCAACACTGGACGACTTGTTACCAAATACGGATCACACTACACCTCACTGACACAATCACTTTCAATGTTGTTATTACTGTTAAAATCCGTTGTAAGCCGTAGAGGCTTGTTCGGTTTGTTCACCTTCTGAGCGCCGCCATCTTGGATATCGGGCTCGGTCGGCCTCAGGGCGCCAGTGGTCCTGAGTGCCAGCCCGCGACGCATTAAACGAATCGCTGGTATGAGCGAAATTGGCGTAAAAAAATATAGGAAAAGAAAGCTGAGCTGAATGCAAATGAATTGGGAATAAGAGCTACTTTGGAACGTATTGCTGCATATTGCTAATCAGCAATTATAGGCCGGCGGGTCGGATTGGGTAAAGATCGACACCGGAGGGAGGGTATCGAATACAACTGCATTTGAAGGTACTCAGGTTTTTTCTAAAAAAATGTCAAGAGTGGTGAGGCTGTCATTTCGAAGTTGTGCGTTAAATTATTTGACGACGTAATAAGTCTTTTCCGCTATGTTTATTGTTCTGCTTATTTCACCTTATGCGAGCGGGCTACGGCGGCAATTTCAAATAGTGGCCATATGCCAAGACTTCATCTCAGTGCAAGGATGTACTTTTTTTTTGATAATTGCAGGGAAAAAGTGCAAACTACTTGTAGATTATAATTCTTTAGCGTATAATTTAACACGAAGGTTAATTGAAGCTAAATGTTCATGGCGATATATTACGGATTTAAGATGCTAAGCTGGATCAGCTTGTGCCAAATCTTTTGCGTCTCGGCGTACCCAATTTGTTGTTAGCATCCACAAACTGATTTCATGTATCTAGCCAAGCATGTATATGTTTCTGGGCGCACTTTGTGCATAACAGTGTTGTGGATTAAGTCTCTTTTGTTTGATAGATTTAGCAGTAGTATTCGGCTGCTTGAGCAAGAACTTTTCTTAATGGTTTTCACAACCTAAGGAAAATAAAGTTCTTCCCTGGCTGACCCTTGGCTGGAATGCCCTATAGCTTTCCAGCTTTGAAATATTCTGATCACAGCTACGTAGCTCCACGTAACTACGTAATCAAAGTAACTCGCGCCAAACTTAGACTAAGTTGTTCAAACTTCCGTAAATGACGTGTTGTTTTTGCAGATGAGTTGTGTTAAGTTGTAAAGGCAATCCCACAACGCTGAAAGATAATACAGGCTTTGATAGGTTGATGTTGTTCAACGAATTGTTAGTGGTATGTTGAATGTCTCTGAAAAGTGAAGCGTAGGGTATGGACATGGGAATCCTGTCGTTTCCGTTGCGAAGAGACGTTTAATAATTACCAGGGGGTGAAGCGTATCTAACTAGTATTAGCATTAATTCAAAGGATAAATGGCGAATCGGAAAAAGATTAAGAACATAACACAGTAAACCAAGATATGTGTTGACGATGTAAAATGTACTATCTTCACAGATAATTATATTGTTACCGACCTGTCTTTATACTTCTATCTAGCAGGGAACCTTGTTCCACCTTGTTTATTATGTAAGGACTGCAAATTGTATATCATACCACCGCTTTGATCTCAAAGAACTTATTACATTGAAAGATACGCCTTCGTAGTAACCTCACGTTCACAACTGAAGCATACATCTCCGTATCGTTTGTTAGAATTTCTTGTTTTTATATTACATATAGTTTTATATATATTCGAAACATACAAGGGAGCTAACACTTGCGAAATAGATGATAATAATAATATGCCTCATAATTCATTGCTGTTTTACTAGTGCAAGCCGTTTCCCATCAGATTTTGCAAAGCTTTCTGTGTAAGCTGAATGAAGGGCCAAAAATAATACATTTTGGAATTGTGCTTTTAATATACGTGCAAATATAAATTCTTATGCAATACTGTCGCAGCTTCTTTTGACGTAACAAAGCTCCATTTGGTTTGTACTCTAACGTGGATGAGTATTCGTGTCTTTATGAGGGCTTAAAATCGACGAAGGGAAAGCAAGAACACTCATAATCAGCAAAGCGATTCATTGATTCTGCTGTGGACACTTAAATCATATGTCTAAGAACAATTTCATTACGTTTTCATATATATATATATATATATATATATATATATATATATATATGTTGTTAACTAGCTACATCTATTAAAAGGAGCATGACTCTGAAATAAATTAGCTACCAATAGAAGCAGTTATTATTGCTACTGCCGGTTGCTTATCGCTCATTTGGTGAGAGCTAACGTTAAACCATATAAGTATGAACATCGCATGTGATTATCTCTGTTCTAATGTAAAGGTGATTTAATTGCGGCTTTCTGAAGAAACGGTTAGCATTTTGGTGTTTATGGCGAAGTAGTATGGAATGAATCTTACTGAGAAGATAGACCGTCAGCGACCACACTTTTCTCACCTGAAAACATTGCGTTTGGTATAGTGAATGATTAATTGATATAACTGATGCAATAGAGTATGCACATTGACGCTCATTAAAAATAGCTATACTACATGCGTAGAACCTACTTGAAAAGCATGCAGATATTACAGGAGACTTAATATGTTGCGCTAATCGAAACAAAAGAGGTTAACTTAAAAAAGCAGAAACTTCTAACGAGCAATTACATCTGTCGGACAGTGTCTTCTATACTACCTCAGCATCATTATCCATCGTTCCCATCATTTTACTACGGTAAAGCAATCTTTACGGACGACTTATTCGATCTAGATGTTAATACAATTAATTAATTTGCGTTCCCATATAGAATTTGACGTGTAGGCAGCGGATTTCTAGAACTTGTGATTTGCAGCTTACTCAAACGTGCGTACTTTGGAGTAGTGACTAGAGCAGGCCATTGAGCCCTGTTGTCCGAAACAAGCTGGAGATTCAAACTATTCCTTGGAAATTACTGGACGTATCACGTCAGTGGTATTATGGACGTCTACTTGTTGATTTTCCGTTTCGTTTTCGCACGTGTATTCGCGGAGGAATAGGCAGTTTAAAGGCGGGACACTAAAACCTGATATTCTGAATAGCCAGATTTAATAAGCTAGATAGCTTTGTTGAACTTTGATTTGATCTAGCGAGACTAAAATGGACACCACCCAGAAGATTATTATTTTTGGCGTCGTAGTTCTTCATGTTACTCAGCTGATTTAAAAGGAGATTATTATAGTAATTGTGGACCATTTTTTTTCTTTATTACCGTAGAACCTAATTAAAACTGCATATAGCATATTTTTTGGGTACTTGCGAGGGCAATCTTCTAAAAATTTCCTAGTGTTATTTCGTATTTTTCCAACAAAACTACACTTTGATTTACCTTGATCAAACAATTTGGTCTGGTAACCGGGCAAATCTCAGGAACATATATTAAGGCTTTTAAACCTGTGTAACCAATTCTCTGGTGTTCTCTCTGAGCTCTGCACAGGTAAAGGCGTAGATCGAACTCAAGATCGGGTGCTTACTAAAAATTAAAATTATTCCATATGTGAAAACAGATAAATCTAAGCGTCTAAGTGCTGCAGTATATCGTGCCAAAATACGTGAACGAATTGCAACTTTCGGGACAGATGTCTCGTTATGGGCACTGCAACGTGCATGTAAAAGAGTGCTTTTTTAAATATGCGGAGAATTATTTTTGATAAACAAATACGGAAACAATGAGTGATTTGATACTCCTGCATCAACGGCTCATTGTGTAGTTGGTAGGATTCAACTGCCGGCGATTTAATCAAATCATGTATTATCAATCAAGGATGCATATATTTTGGTGTTTTCGTGTGCGCGTATAAAGCTCGGGTTGGGGTCGAGTTTTTTTTTTGCATTTTGTATCGGGTAAATCGTCGAAGTCATTCATTTTTTTAAAGCAACACATGTTGTTCGTTAAAAAATGCTCTACATATATTCGTCATAGAAATTGCAAGGCTGCAGCTTATATGGTTGGAAGGTTGAACTACATAGGGACACATTTGCGATGCGGTTATGAGGTAGTACGGATAGGCGCTTCTATCCATTGCTACTGTTAGTTCATGTCGCCAGAAGCCCCGTCACTTCTGTGAGTTCCCAGTGGCGTAATTTCTGTGCCATTACTCCAGCATACAGGCTCACGTGTCGCTTTATTTATTTTTCTTTCGTTCGGAAGGTTAATTTTTCAACCGAATATATTGTACAGGCAAATCTTCGACTCAAACATCATATAATAGAGCCTTATTTATTAAAAGATCGCGTTTCTTAAAAATCGGGATAATTGAGATTAAAGTTTGCTTGAAATTAACAAATTTATCCCTCTATAATAATGTCAAAACATATATTTGTGTGAAGTATTATTGTTGGATCTGCAACGACACAGCTAGTTTTGCCGACATGATTTTTGTCATTGATGATTATAGTGACATTCGGCATCCTAAAACCGCTTGATTTTTTAAGTTAGCTCAGCACTAGTACGGTACAATATACTTACACAGTATAGCTCAGCACTTACTTATAAAACGCACTTTTCCATAAATGTCGTATAAATTCGGCTGCCACAGTAGTAGAAGTTATTAGTTTGATTGGCTAGGTATCGTCGGTTTATATTCGCTTTGTTGGCAATCTTTTTGCCAATAATCGAGTAATAAAACTTGCTGTATTATCAAATGTGTAAGGGCCTTCGTCACGGTGTGCAGCATTCATTATTTTATATTTTATTACTTATTTATTAATCCATTATTTAAATAGGATATGCGCTTCTGATGAGGTGTGGCTTTACCACGGTTCGACCAAAAAGCGATTGTCACCTAAGTAGGCAAAAAAGTTATCAGGTGAACATAGGTGAATCGATCTTCCTTTTCTAGTTTCCTTGCCATCTGCTAAAATCATGGATAGAAAACTGTCAAGCGCATAGATTTCATAGCATATTCGCTTCGTTGTCTCATAAAGTAGCTGTTTACGAGTTAGATTTTTTTCGAAATTCGACAATTTATTTGCTAAGTGTATCTATTTGCGTGAAAAACATAATATTTTTCTGTGTACTTTTTCTATGGTATGGTAAGCAGTTTCAAGTCATATTAATTTTTCGGTCGGATACTCATCAATTACGCCTTAATGAACTTTAACAATTTTTTTTTTAAATTGGACCATAAAACGTAAATGAGATCAACGGAATATTAAACACTATACCCAGTTTTAAGCGTATCAAAGTGTTAAAAAATTAGATAGTTAAACAGTCGAGAAGATGTCAATTGTAAACCTTGTCATTGACGCGGAGCCATCTTTACCCATGAAAAAGTGATCTGCAACTGAAATTCAAGGAAAATTACAACATTATAATAAAGGCTACAATCTATTCTTGCTTGCGACGCTTGATACAATCGACTATTAACTAATCGAGTATTATTTGATTAAGGCGAGAATTTACAGTTTAAAAAACTAACAGCTTTGAATTTTACATTACTCAAAATAGTACGATATCTATTAAAATAAGTTTACTTTTTACGCCTTTATTAAAAGCGGGCCTTGGTCTCTTAGCCGCTGTAATTGTTGTAATACATTTATATCCAAAGCGCAATTTCGTTAAACGTTAAAAAGAGTTCTTATAGCCACGTCTTACTCAATATGTGACGCAAAAAATGAAAAGACAAAACACCGTATTTATATCTTTCATTTTTGAATTGTGTTGCGGAACAAATAATTTCTGATCACGGAATGCCCAGGGAACGTCAAATCTTTGAGCACATATTTTTCGAATGAGGCGCTTGATTTCGAGTGGTAAGAACCAAGGATTGAATTTTATTTACCACTCCAAACAGAGACTATTTTATAAACGCCGTTCGCCGCCTCCTTTCTTCATATCGTTAAACGCATGAAGAGCCTACACGTGACTTAAAGCTTTCGGGGATACTGCACATAGCAATGCAAGGGTAGCGGTAGCTCATCCCCAGTCGTTTAGGTCGGGCTCTGGGCGAATCTCTTTTAAATAGCATTGCATTTTTATAGCACTGCTATACGGGTTTTAATTAATTTGTTCTTATTGTGAAAGTAAAGTTGTGATATATTCGTAGTTTGCCTAGGCCTTATGGTTCATCAATGCAATGGGTGCAATTAAGTACGGTTTGTGCACATATTCATTCATTTATTTCCTAAAAATGGCCAAGGCTTAGTAAGTCATTTTGAGCCGAAGGCCTCATAGGTCTTCGCAACTTAGGAACATCGTGATGAGGCCTTTTAAGCCGCAGCCCGTTGGCAAGTCCTGCACATAAACCCTAACTCAGTACAACCGTATCTATGTGCCCAATCCTGGCTGTACGAGCCTCTTAGAAAAACGAAACCTATCATTTTCATATCTAGTATCATGCATGTCGTAAAAAAAGCGCTGTCAGAACTTTTTTATATTGGGAAACTATAGCGCTCAACAAGGCTTTTCCAGCGTACAAAGCGGTCTCTATTATTCTGGTCTCTAATATCGGAAAGAACCTACTAAGCTCATCAGTGAGACCTTCATCGTGATATGAGTTTCTGCTCGTTCAAGTGGGGCTATTTGCCCGTAGACGTAACTTCCGCAACTGGTGCTCCAGCGGTGTCCAGTAGGTTCATAGGTTTGGATAAGGCTACTACAAAGGATTGTAGAGCTTCATTAAGCTTTTCTTTCAAACATCCGATAGAGCACCGAAAAACCTACGTATATGCAGTGTGGAAGGCATGGTAATATATATATATATATATATTAATAATATACTTAACAACATAATTGAGTAATTCGTCGCATTACAAATTATTGTATTGCCAAGTATTTTTATTTCAAAGAGGCAGATTCTAAACCCTAGATCGATACAGATGTGCAATTTAGTGAACATTTTTTGGTTAATATTATCTCTATATTTGTACAGTGCTGCTGCAGTATATTGATTGAGAGTTTAAATTGCTGTATACTATGCTCATACATGCCGACTAACTGTTTTACCAATTCAATAGGGGTTCGTACATTATTTGCTTTATTGTAACATAACGTAGTATCGCATTTTTTAATTAAAATTGTACGGTTCTAAGATTCCTTGTTATAATTTAACAGACACGCCAGCCTGTTAGCCAACTCTTGTTTTGTATAAAAGCGGAAAAGCATCTGTGAAACACATTTACGTTTTCACGTAGCGATCTCCTCTATCAATCGATTATATACGTTTCCAACGTTGATTTGACTATGGTTTCTATGCAAGTAGCCAATTCGTGTGCGTTAATTGCGGTATTGGCTGAATGATCGTCTATTTCAACAGTACTCAACCATATGCGTGAAGCTCTAACGAAATTATAGAAGTCTTTTTTTATTAAATTCAAATTTCACAGCTTGAATTAGCAGTCCTTTACTAAAGACTTTACTGTCCAGACTGCAACAATGGTCTGAAAAACTTATACTTTAACTATAATTATTTAGTCCTATACGTAGCTTGCAGGAACGCATCGTTTGTATGCTTCCAACCACGGAAGTTATAATGTCACCCTGAGTTCTGCTGCCATTAGATAGTTTAACGAGACACACTCTAAATCAATACTCATATTACACTGTAGACATGTGTAATCGCTCTGGATCCCCTCACGGAGCCTATCCGATGAAGTAACTGCGCCATGCACAAATACAGTCTGTAGGGTCGCATATCTCTCAGAAGTCTTTCTGATGTGGTAACAAACTAAAGACTAGCAAAGTTTGTGTTGTTTGTGGCAATATACATCTCCATTGTCATCGCTATTTGTAACGGGTATCTAATAAATTAGGGAAAAATACGGCAAATCACTAGTAATGGATCTGTAGAAGGCAGTGGACGTTTCCCTGTAAACCAATCCAGTCCTTTTGAACTGAACGTAGAGTGATACTTAGGCTTATTTGTCGCTGATCTGCAGTCGGTTATACCAGTATGAGAAGCTGCCTAACAGCACTAGCAGACGTAAAAGTTCGAAACAACCATTAGTTAATTTTAGTTTTTTATGGAAAGTGTCGTAATCATTTACAGCCTTACAATATATACAGCAGTATACGTATAGTAAATATGATGTATAATGTGTGTTCGTATGATAGGTCACATTTGTTGTAAAAGTTACTGAAGTGCACGAGGATCAACTATTAGCGTGATATACAATGGTAAAAGTGAAGTCAAAATTCTTTTGTTGGGGACTCAATAAGATAGGAGAAATATACCACCTGAAAAAATTGAGTCGTCTTTTTCTATCGAGATCGCAATGGAGGAGCAAAGAGCTCCCTTTTAGTCATAATTTTGATTAGGTTTAAATTCTAATCGCCTTTACCAAGAACTCGTTATAACGTATTGTGAACATTATTTAATATACTAGTAAAACCGTTACTTATATAATGTGTAATTACAGATTTCATTATACGTACAGCTAAAAAAGTAACAGTGTTATATGCCTCCCACGACTTTAGGTTTGGAGGTCGCCCTCGCTCCCAAATATCAACCAGAAAATAATAATTAAAAAAAAACATTTAAGTATATTTTCCTTTTAATCGTTTCCAAGTTACAAAAGCACATTTTAGGAATCATGCTAAAACATCTGTTGTATAATTTGGCCTTTTCTAGTCACGTACTTTATTTGCAGTTCCTGTATTGTCCCTATATTAACCCCATTCTATTCCCCCCCCTTTAGCCTAGCAGACAAACTTTGGCCCTTTCCTACTGAAATGAGTAAATCTAGTTCAAATCTAGATCAAAGGAATAGTCCCGCTATAACTTTTGGCATATATTCTATATGTAGACTCGGGGCAGATGGTTTTACTATTTTTTTCCTTTACGTTTATCTGGGTTCAACCGCTAGGTTATATAAGTTAAATGCTTGAAATCGGCGTCAACGTTAGGTGAATGAATAAAGCTGAACAAGTAAAATAAATTATGGGTCTAATGCTGCCGTTTGTGTCACGCTCCATTTTATCGGTATGTTAACTCACTGGACACTTAACCCTGAACTTGCTACGCAGTCAGTTTCATCTATTAGTTTGCAGGTGTGCATCTCAAAATGCAATAGTGCTATTTCTGTATTACGAATTTAAATATTAAATATTATAATATTTAAATATCCTAAATAAATTCCAGTAAAGTAGTTGCCAGCAACTAATAGATGTTTCAATTTGTATGTACGGTTGTAATTATTACATTTTAATAACGGACTGTGAGTAAAGCTCCTCTGGAAATCAAGGTACTAATCCACTTTGTCGTTGTTAAGGGAATAGATTTCCATTGCTGGATTAACTTATCTCTTCGAGTCCTTTTGCTAGCTATGAGAAGCACAAACAGACCTAGAACTGTACAGGTTTCGATGCATTTTTGTGTATCTATAGATCTTTTATGTGTGGCCTTTTGATGTATATTTTTCTAAGTAACAAACAGCACGCTTGTTAGGCGCGGTCTTTTGTAGACAAAAAGCAATCGTATTTCTAGGCGTTCTTTTTTTCAGTTTTTTTAGTAAACTGAAATTGCCAATGCCACAGGCTGGAAGGGTAGAGGATCACACTTTTTACGCGCTTTTTTAAGAAGTTTGAGCAATGTTGTTTACGGGCGACTGAGCCCGACAGGGCAATGTTTGTCTATCATGGACCGATGAGTATGAGACTCGGCCCCGACGGGCGGATTTTGCTCCGCCGAGAACGCTATCAACTAATTTTCGCTTTCTTTCTTATACGTCACACCAGCAGTTCGGCAACTTCAATTAATAATGCTGCAGACTGTTTAAAAGGAGTGGGGCAAGCCGGATTTGACCTAAACCAACCCTGTTGGATTACCACCGCGTTAGACAAGGCGCTTTTCATACAGCCTATTATTTATATAGACCATATATGTTCACCTATTCTCACGTAGAGTCAAGTTAGCTTGTATTTATCTTTAAAATTAAGATTAATTTTCATAAAACACATTGCCTAATTTAAATTATTATATCTTCGGAGATAAACAGACAGGACTCTGAGTGTGTTTCGCTTGTCAAGTTGGAAATTATAGATGAAGTCGCTTATCTACTTTTGGCCTATGGTTGCAAAACCGCGTATCATGACCGCACTCAGAAGTTCTGAACAGGAGAAAGGAAAATGTCGTTATGATTGATAATTCGCGTTTCGACTTTGAAAAATGGCTTTCTCTTATGGAAGATTCAACACAGAAGAATAATAACAAGAGTATACGCATTTTAAAACGTATCATTTGTTCTGATAATAATGGCGATTGGATACAGCTTCTCTAAGACATGCTTGAGAGAATGGAATGTCACTCATTTTCTCTGGCAGCTTGGCTTAGAAAAAATATTATGCACGAAAAGAGCCAAACGGGTAGGACTTAGCTACTAGAAAAGTAAAATTAACAGTGAAGAAGTCCATGTTAACACCACTCTTTCAATGGATGTAACGGCTGAAATTGCCAATTTTGTAATAGATCGTTGCTTCCCATAAAGGATAAATCAGTAGAAAAGCATTTCGCGAAACCATAGACGGTTACAATCTCGCCGACCTGCAACGTCTCATGCAGGTGAATGTAATTTTGCTGCTGTTAATGAAAACCCGATACAATGCAATTAAAGTCTATTACTTGCTTGTTCTTCGCGCTCTTTTTCTTGAGCGTACGCTGACAGAACATGTTGTTCTGTTCGACTTACTTATTTCTAGAAAAACAGTAGCAATAATACCGTAGTAATAAAGACTTTATTATAATATACGAGTGAAGGACTCCATTAATTCTTGTACACGCCTTGTGGTACATGAACAAACCGGCAACTGGGCCGAAGCTTACAGTTGCGAGCATTCGACGTTGTCTCCACACTCCATCTGAGTCGTTGTCTCTACTAGTCATAATGCTTAATACTATGGACAGTAAGAATCAATGAATTTAAGCTTGCGTACACTTCCCATCATTTAAATCAACTAATATACTTGCTTGATGCTTGCGACTTTAATCAGCGCTATCATTGGTGTTTGTTTGAAGATTAGAAACGGAGTTGTACGAATTAATTTATGGACGAGAAAAATGGTTCTACCATTTTTATTATTCTCCCTACAGTAGAGCCCAGGAGCTGTTTGACATCTTGAAGTTTTTCAGCTCCTGATTTCAGGTTTCGAGCATCCGCAAAAACAGCAATAGATTATTAAAAAGAAAGACTTATTAGTATGACCGGTGTTTGCCAATGTTATTTCTATAACACATTGCTTTCTCGCTATCCCTATTAGTTTTGCTGCTACTGCTTTTCCTTTTCCTTGATTGCGTCTTTAATATATACGGTTTGTTTGCCGCTAACTAACCATTCAGTGTTACTCGTGTATTCAGACAGTGTCCCAGCCTACAGTTGCACTAAATTACAAGTTATCTGGATTCAAAAAGTCACATGAGCCAAAACTGCCGTGGGTTTCTTTTCTAAGCAGCCCCTCACGACATCAAATCGCCGCGCACAAACGTGTTTTGATCTTGAATCAGCTAGCTAACGTTAAGTACCACTGCTCAACTTCGAAATCAAATTAGTGTGTTTAATTTTTAGCAATTGTAACATCAGATCAAACTAGATGGATAGTTGCCGATAAGCTGGTTAACTGAGTCGTACCCGGGTCATTTCATGATTTATCGAACACTTTTCCACAACAAACAGATTCGTTATTTCAGATTGTGTAGACTACTTCCAAAAACTATCCGGAACACGCAGACTTCTTTAGATAAAGACAAGCTTGCGACTAGGTTCAGGCAACCGCCTCGATAACGGATCCACTACCCCGACTGAGTCATATAATGCTGTCGTCGTTTGTACTTTTTTTTACTAAGCATTCGGTTTAACATTAACACCGTCTTAATAAAGAAATTTATTTATTTATTTATTTAAATTTAATATCAGCAGCCAGATTTAATAAGTTCTAGTTCAGTCAGATTTTTATTTGTGGAGGCCCAAACTTAAGAGCTAAATGAGAAATATTTTTCAAAAGCCAGCGGCATTAGCAGATTCTTCATGCTTAACTTACTGCGTTCTAGCTTCATTCAGATCGTTCTAGCCTACTATGTATCTTTTGTTGTGGTGTTGGATGCGCTGTTAGATCGACCCGACTTTTCATTCTTATAGCAATCGGAATTTGTGTCCTTCCTATCTGTGCGGTTCTATCTGGAAGACGTTATCATCATTTAATTGATTTATATACAAACAGGAAATGCAATAGAAATTGTTTTTATCTAACAATGCGCAATACGTAGTCCCACGTACCGCAAATTGCATATTTTTAACGCCACTGCCTGTAACATGTATTATGTAGTCTAGCTTTCGCTTAATCGGTGCTAAACAAATCATTCTTTTGATCTAGTTCCCGATGATGGCGCCTGTCTGTTCATCCCTTTGACGATGAGGTCTATTTTGAAACCGCACACATCGACATGATGACCGCCAAGAGTCAAAAACTTCGCTCTTGTACATTTACGAGACACCGACCAAGTCGACTGTATCTATAAAAATCACTGAGGCATGAAAGACGCGAAAGACATGAATAGTAGTAGTTCGTACTGCGTTGGTATTGAACACACAACAAAAAAGACTGCCGGGTGCAACCTCTTCTAATTTTACTTTATATTCTTAATATTCACACTACTTCTGTAGCTCTTGTGAAAAATGTATATGGATAGATGTGATATATATATATCACAAAAAGACTTCGATGCCGTTGTTTCATGGCATGTCAAATAAGTCAGAGTTAGCAGATTCGAGTTTGAGAACAGTTTATGTTGAATGTAATACTAATATTACCCGCATAATAACGAATTTTGAAAAAACATGAGTATCAAAAAAATTGTTACTGCAACTTTTTATGACAAGACATCACTCAAATACGCAAATAGCTTATTGATGAATTTGGCTTAGTCTAATGCGTAATAAAGCGAATAAATAAAGAGCAATACTATATATAATGATTCGTCAAAATGATAAAATTCAATTATACGTATGAAATGATATGTAACTTAATTACTGCAATCCTAATAACTAATCACACAATCCTAATACTGGGAAGTCTGTTCGCGAAATATACTTATTAAAACGTACCCTTCTTTAAAAAGTCAATTAAACATATTGTTTGAAACCACATGTCAAAAAAGGCAAATCAAACACGTTTAACTTGAAACTGGCTTCACTTGAAAATATGCTCGCGTTGTTGAACAATGTAATTGGTTCGTACTTTTGTTATAAAAAAAGTGAGAATGAGCCGTATGCATGCGCGTCTAGTGTGCTCCATTATTACCACATATTGCGATTAAATGAAGTCTTGTTAAAGATATAATGAACGAACAAACTTTTTTCAATGTCTACCTTTTGTATTCCTTTCTAAAAGGAAAATAAGCAGGTAATCGAGGACGCTATAAAAACGTTGGCATGAATTTCATTTCAAGAGACAAGGCAAAAATTATGAGCACCTACACCACAATCAATTTGCAAAATGAGCGTTAACCGGGTATGTATAAATCCGTCAAACTAAGAACAGCCACAACATTTTTTATATGACCCATAAGTTATGTAGTAAGTCAAGAGAATTAAAGTAGTCGAGAGCCACAGACCACTTCAGGCCAAAGGTCGGCTAAACATAAAAAAGTCACACCTTGCCTGTCATAGTTTCTCTATCACGCCCTCGAAACGTGATCTTCAAATGAAGAGTCATACAGTCTTATGTTTGGTGAATAAGCGCTAAATATAATTTTTTTTAATTCAGCATCTTTGCGAAATCCATCTAATTGTTTGAAGTTGTTATTCCATTGTTATTAAAAGCAAGCCTAATGTAATGTAGTTTCTCACCCTGTGGCACCCTACGTACGTAGTTAATATACTACTGCAGGCATATTTTACACATTTGTTCTAACGCGCTCTCCGAATTTTATAGCGCACTCAAGCTACACAAGAATCGTATCTACTTTTTGTGCAGTGTTGACTACATCTCGTCGTGAACTGGTCGCTTGTGGCCAAGATACGTGTGTGCCTTCAGTTGTTCGTTCACCTGGGCCACCGCTTTTCGAACAATGCGGATAAATTCATTCACATCGAATCGGTAATTGGCAAATTTCTCATGCGCGGCATGCTGCCCTTTGGGATTGGCGACTGCCTCTAATGTGTTGCGTTTCTCCCATGTGAAGTACCTGCAAAGTGAGAGTAAAATTCCTTGGTGGCATCGGCATAAAATTCCTCTTTAAAGACCTCTTCAAAATATATACGTCTCATCGTGCACTTCGAATGCTATATGTAATATTTTCGAACTTGATTGCACTTTACCAGTATAGTAATAACTATTACTATTATGAGAAGATTTGTGGGATGAAATCTATCACAATTGTAAAACAAAGCGTCGGCCAGCCAAATAAGTTATATCGATAGAAACCTTTTGCCAGCAAGCCTAGCAAGATCGAGGTAGCAATTTGGATCTCCGCAGTTATACAGCTCAAAAACTGCAGCCCATTCCGGCAGGAATAACGTGTGAGTTAGCCCCGCACCGTGTACGCCTATTAATAAGTCAGTATTTGCGCTGATCTGAAATATGAATATAAAAACTTACAAAATTACCACATATCGACCAGCAGAGTCATGATAAATAACAAGCTATATTTTGCTGGTCCTCATATCGAACAAATCAGCAAACTGTAGCACATATATAACGGTAGCTATATATGGAATCTTGTCTATTAGGCCTAAAGCCGCTCTCTTTTAATAAACTACTCAGGCAAATATCAATTCAGTCATGATAAGAGATTCATCAGCTTTTACTAGTCGTTTGTTTATAATCGGTATATCATTTAAATAGGTGCCAAAACGGCAGCTCGATAAAGAGTAGTCTATACGACACGCCTTTAAGTATAAAGAATGATTACCAATTTAACAATAGTATTCATATTTATATCACAATGCAAAGCCACTGCTACCTGCTGGTTTTCTCGTCGACGATACTAACATTTATCTGCGCGATAAAGTCCATTTTAAAATTGAAGTCAATTTTTGTTGCCTGCACACCTTCGACTTTGTTGAGTTCCTCCATAAGTTCATCTTGATTAAGAACTCGCCTGGTGTTGGTAGATCGCGACAGAAAAGTAACCCGTAGGTCACCAGACGGCCTTTCGACAGGGATGTTTAGACGGTGGAGCGTATGCTCCCTGCATTGTGAAAGAAGTCCCAATTTTATATTTTTCAGTCAGTATATTTTTTTTACTTCATTTCAATCGCAATATTGTTCACACTTTGGTCTGCGTTCACCTTTATATGACTAGGGGCTCTCCGCTATGTGTGGGAGCGAAAATGAATTGCTAAATCGACTCCACTCGATCTGCTCTAAAATTGTTAACTCTTTCCTATAGGAACGTTACAAACACTCGTTGAATTTTAGTAATGTCATTGAGCAACACAGTAATGAATAAATTTTCATTTCGAAGTGCTTTCTACACTTCAAAAATATTGCGAGCGTAAAACTACTTCAATCAATCCAATCGCAGAAATGTACAACATGGAACTGTTCATTGTTTAATCATATCTATATAGTAAGTTTAACATAGACTACGATACGTACCTTTTAGATCATAACAGACTGCTTACCTGAAAGCCTTCATCAGGCCACTGCCTTGACACCCAGGTATAAGCGGCATGTTATAGTACAGTCCAAATATCATCCGGGGCAAAAACGGGAGGAGGAGATTACTGAAGCACACTTTGCCCTTATTCTTGAACTCGCCGATGTGACGAAGCGGACGATCCGTAATTATGCGCCACATAGCTCCAAAGTTGCTCCGGTATGGATACTTAATAAAAAACGAAGATTCTATAGATTATACATTAACCCTTAAACCCTTAAACTTTGCTATGTTCATGTGAGTGGAACAAAGCCCCGTGATGGAGCAGTAGTAACACATTTGCTTAGTAAATTTAGAAATACGTAAAGAAATCTAAGTTCAAAACAAGGCCGAGACAGACTTCGTTTCCTACTGAAAGAAGCCGGCCTACTGAAGCAATGCTTAATGCCACTACTAGGTGTAAGAACTCGAAGCATTAATTCTACATGAGTAGAGCAAAATAAGAAGACCAACTGAATGAACGTCTATCCTCTTGGCTAAGCTGGCAGCGTAAAGAGAACGTTGAAATGATGATATCGGTTCAATCCATAGTTGACTTCTTATCCGCCCCAATCTGACAGGGGCAATTTCTCTAACGACAACACGACATTGCCGACGTTGACTCTGACTCGGATCGCCAGCTTCAGATTGCATTCAATTCTGTTTCAAAATTCTTCGATCATTAATTAAGGTATTCGTATCTACTACGTATATCTACACGGATTCAGCTCGTCAATGTCGTTGGAACAAAACATAACTATTTTGTGGTCATTGTCAAAATTTTTCGCGTAACACTAGATTATATAGCAAGACAATACAGTTAATCTTTGCCAAAAATAATTTAGGAAACGAAATAAAATATTTTGCATCTAATGTGGTTATTAACGTACACCATCCCATACGATAACGTTGATGTTTTGGAAAGCTGTTTGATTGAAGTGCAGAGTAGCATAAAGATTAACGAAGTCGCAAAAGTGATGATACATATTTACTGTGGCGTCCAGCTTCACCAACATAGTTGGTTCCTCAATGACTTCTCCACACTCGTCGACGGTCAGCCGCTGTGGGAGCACTGTAGTAAAAATGTAAAATATTAGGAAATAAAAATCACATTGGCGCTTTTGATTTGAAAAACTGAAGTACAAATACTAGATGAAATATCTAGTTTAATAACTAAAATGAATTAGGATTTAGAATTTTGCGCTATAGTGTTTTTTGCCTTAAAGAAGTACACTGTGTTTACTGTATTAACTGCTATTCCAGCCTTGTCCCCACATGCCTACCGGTGAAGTGTTCAATTTCAGCAAACCAGGACTGCAAGGGGCTTTTATGTTGTCCTAGAGACCGTAGCAGATCCACTTTGAGCCTGCAGTGGCCCCCAATAAGACCAGGTCCTAGGACATCGTCACGATATTTGATTGGCCCCGTTAATTCTTTGAGTTTGGAGAAATCCATAAAGATATTCTGGGCACGACAAAGGCGCGCATGGTCCACACATTCAAGAACGCTATCTCCCTGGAAATATGGCATTCCGGAGACGTATATACACGTGAGAACCTCGCTAGACAACGAATGATTGAATTTTCAAAAATGCGCGATTTAGAAAATCTAGTAGCCGGTACAAATCATGCAGCATAGCCTATAAAAAACAAAAAATGAGCGAACCATTCTTGTTCCTCTACAAACAATGGCCATCTCTTGTAGACGTTTGGCGATATATCCGAAATCAGCAGTGTCGTAGAACTCACGCTCCTGTGCTGCTCGACCACCCCCACGAGTCCAACCCTGGTCAGACCCATCACAGGTAGGCGAATGGTAACGATTATCTGAGGTGCAACGATATTTCTCTTCGTAACCCCAGCATTTATTTTGTTTGAGATTGGCCTAGGAAAAAAAGAGAGATTTATTTGTTAATTAGTTTTATTAGTCAATTATTTTTTGCATATATCGCTGCTAAAAATTTGCGTCGCCGGAACTCGCCTGATAGTAACACGAACATTGTAATAAAGAATTCAACCGAAAGAATGGCTATCGCACTTCTCATAATGTTTAAGCGGTTATATCAAGCGAGAGAAATATTCAAGGAGCAGGACAATGACTGTACAATAAATGACGTATCAGTAAATTGTGTGAGATTTTTTTGCTCATAGGAAAATCTTATTGGATAAAACTGAGTTATTTAACTGAGCGCTGGTCCGCTTTTTCGTGTTACGCCTGATCTACAAGTGCATTGTTACGATTATTAACAAAAAAACGTACATGCATTTTGGACTTCATATATATTTATACTTAGCTTATTATTATTTCGCTTATTTATACAAATTATGTCATATATGGCTCTAGTGCTTACCTGGCAAACCTTGTCTCTTACGCACTCATCTAACAGACTCTGATTAAGAGCGGCCCATAGAGGCAAATGTTCTGCAGGAACTTCTAATTTGCGTAAGCTATTATGCTCCGACCGCACAGCACAATGTGCTACAACTACCACCAAACAAAACCATACGTTCCACCTTGACATCAATCCAATATTCATGCGGAATGCGGTACTGTGGGTGAGTCTATATCTGCACATAGTTCCATTAGCACCCAACGCGGCACGACAATATCCTGACTGTCCACCGCGCGCTCAAGGTTTTTGCTCGTTTATGAACGGTTAGCTGACAAAGCTCATTTGAAATTGTCTGTATCGATCTGATTAATTTATCACACCATACACACTCTGTTTGCGTGACACGTTCGTTACTAGTCCACTGTCCGTAGCTGTCCTCCCACGCTTTTTCTTTAATAGTACCCTTATGCTCATATAAAACTTTGGTATAATTTGCACCTTGCCGGTTTCTTCCAGTGAGCATTAACTGCTTTGTTCCGACTATGTTATATGTTTGATGCTACTACAACCGTGAGTATTTTCTGAAGCGGTCAGCCGTTTAAAGCTAAGTGAACTAAATAAGACAAACAAATTTTATCTGTAATGAGTCAGAGCCGTCGTTCTCAATCTCCTAGACCTTCAATGCAACTATAGCTGCTTCTGCTGTACTATTTTGGAGCCAACTAACGTCCCCGCGGAGTTCTCAGATCAGAGAGGAGTATTTGGCCGTAATCGGACCTGCTTTCCAGAGCACCACCGACGACTGCCAGTGTCTCGCCGGTATCAAAACACACACTTAGTAGGAACCCCCCTCGCTCCCTCACTTGGAGCACCGTAGCACCGTAACGAAGGTAGCCTTAAAAATAAAATGACGTACGTGTTTATCGGAACAAGTTGTCATCCTTTTGCACGCCGCAGCCTTCATGCGATTTTTGGGCCATCAGCCGTTTGCCCGTCGAGGTCGAAGTACCCACAAGGCTCACAAGTCAACGGAGTAACAACCGTTGGCCAAATGCGGGCATAAACGCGCAACGGGATTTGAATTTTACCGCCAAACCTGACGGCGCCCCTCGAAGGGCGGACCATGGATACGCCGCGTGAGAGCGAGTGAACAAGCAGCAGCGGGGCGGCTGGTTCTTACGATAATTACATCGCCCACAGGCGTGGATGGAAAAGGGCAGTGTTTAGCGTGTACATCGCATATGAGTATGCTGCAGTGCGAAACGCAAACGTAGTTCTAAAAAGAAAAAAAAAAAGAGAAAAACCAAAATCGCGTGTGTGCGTGTCCATGTGAGCGAATAACGAGAGGAAGAATCGCTGCTTCATTGTGTATTTTGTGAGCCAACCTACGACCTGTGATAGAGAAATACACAGCGGAAGCCCACACATACTGAAAAGGGGTATCACATGAATGCACTGCTCGCAAACTTCTACTGAAATACAACAGCGCTTCATTTTCCACGAGCGGGTAAGTGTTTATGTGCATATAAAGATTTATCGTACTTATTTATTGCTGTACATTTTTTTCTCCCTTTATATATATAAAAAATGGGGACCAGGTAGTTGATCAGTCGGTTCAAATTACTCCAGTTGTCACGGACAGACAGTTGGAAAATTTCAAAGCGTTTTAAATATTTTAAGGATAGAGTGGCGCAGCTTTTCGAGTGGGCCTTTTCTTTTGCTTTTCCGTTCGACGAACTGCAGGAATGGAAAAGACTTTTACCACTGCCGTGACAGAGTAACTGATTGTCGTCGATAAAAACTTTTGTACGGATACTGTTTACAACGTAATCAGATGTAGGTGACTGCGCTGCCGCGCGCCTGTCACTACTTTGCGATAGCAGTGGCTACATTCGTTGTCTCCGACTAATTTTATTCGAAGGCAGACGCACAGCACAGCGCTACTAGTCCTCATCCGGTCGATCAAACAGTAAGCGGCTGACAACGGTGCTGGCGAGTGAGTTGCTAGCGGTGGGTTCTCTCTGCCAGCTGATCGGCCGATGGGAAATCACTATCAGAAATAAATAATAATTACAATTTTAAATAGGTAATTTAGCAAGAAGAATTGTGTAAGTCGTATCGACGTAACGTCCGTTACAAATTTATTATAAACCAATGAACGAAGAAAAAACAAACAAAAGAACAATCCCCTGTTTATTTCCTGCTTTAAAACTTACGAATGTTCAACCACTAAGTTTAGTAAGCACAAGGCGCTACCCATTTAAGCACCACTTCGAGGCTGATCTTTTTGGGTTCAACAACAAGAACAATAACAAAGTGAGGGTGAGAGAGTCAAGCAGATCGACAAACGCTGTTGTTGTGTTGTTGTTATTGTGGTGTTTGGTTGCTAGCGATGTTTCAGCCGGTGCGTTCTGGTTGCCAGGTTGTCTATGCCTCGCCTGTTGCTTGAAACGAGTGAGAAGCCTGCTTGCTCAATCGAGCGATTTTCGTCGTCTGGTCTCAGGGGATGCAAGCCAATGTGATGTATTCTTGGGGGACACACTGCTTATGCGTTTGTTGGGTAGTTTTGTTTCTGTGGCCATATAGGGTTGTTTGTTTTTATTATTAATTGAGAATGATGGCGCTGCTAGTACCCGCTGCCCGCGAGTGCTGATTACTGTGAAGATTGACGTTATTGTTGAATGGGTTCCTTTGTTTTGACTGGTTTCGTTGTGGTGCTGCGTATGCAGCGCATATCAACTGTATATCACATTTACGTGTTCGTGTAACAAACATAACGGTGATATATCGAGTATTGCTGATTAGTTTCTCAAGTGTCATTAGATCTCCTTGCATAAGGAACTTTTTCGGAAAGCGCGAAGCAACTTGCGGAAAGAATCGTGATCCAGTCAAGAAGAGAGCTCTCGTCATTTCAACTCTATTTTTGCTCGACGGGCGTGTGTATATGGGCTTGTTCCCATAGCTTCGATGGACCATTTGGAAGGTGACTTGACCAGTGCATCGCCGTGCTCTTTTTCGCCGAAGCAGAATTATCCATCTAAGAAGCAGCATGTAACATTAAAGTTTGATGGACATGTATTCACTACTATGGTTATGACTCTGTCGTTTTAACGAAGTAACTGCCGCCCTTTATAAGGGTTGATTCCTTCGAAATTGTACTCGGTGTCATTCTATTAAGGCTGCAGAGTTGCCGACTTTTGTGCTTCGAACATTAACAAACCTGTACTCAAACAGCATCATAACATGAGATACCAATGTCCTGCGGAGGAGCGAGCTTGAATTATCACCAAGTCTACCTAGATTAAGCGTTGTCAGGTGCATAATAAAATCGGACACAACGATCACACTGAAAAACAGATATGAAACGGCGGACAGATAGCGGAGACCAGGACAGGTCTGGCGATGAAATTGAGCCCGAGAGCACGAGCAGGCGTGGTAGTATGAGCCGGAAGCGTATACGAAATATCTCGGAAAGTAGCGATGATTTTGAGGAGCAACTGCCGAAGTCTATCACTGACAAAATCAACATGAGCGACGACGACCTCGTATCATTATCAGTTCGCGACCTCAATAAAGAACTGAAAGGTAGGTAGATGTGCTTTCGCTAATGTTAAAATAATAGTTATATTTAGAATATCACTATAACACGAGAAGCTTGTCTCAAATATTGTTTTGTTAGGGTTATGAGCATGTCGATGAGCACTCATATGAACTTTTTTTATGTGAGCAAATCACAAGCATTATGCAAACTACACAGTTTTTGTTTCGAAATCAAAATTTCTTCTACCAATACAAATTTATTTTTATTGACTATTTTATTTGTTTACTAATCAAATATTGGGTTAATGTAGATGTATAGTTATTAATTCATATTTAAGATCAATGCCATAACGATACACTTGAACACCAAATTTTTCCAAGGCATCGAAACAGTTCCTGAAAAACATGTGTCGCTATCTCTATTTACTTCAGGTGCCGGACTGACTCGTGCCGAGATAATGAAAATGAAACAGCGACGTCGAACGCTAAAGAATCGCGGCTACGCAGCCAGCTGTCGCACAAAGCGTATCGAGCAAAAAGATGACCTTGAAGCTCAACGCGCCGAAGTTGAACACGAGATCGAAACTCTTCGACAGCGGAACTCATCGGTTGCTCAAAATCTGAACAGCATCCGCGCACGCTACCAAGACCTCGTGCAGTATTCGCAAGAGCGGAATATCGCTTTACCCAAAGAATTCCTTGAACTGGACGTTTAGAACATGGCAGACTCTTATACGACCACTACTGTACACAGTGGTGCTTTGTATACCAGTGAGAAACCTGAGCGGTTTTCGTTGTGTTCAAGCTGTGTTTTTGACACGCGAGGTGTTTTATTCGCTTAATTCTGTGTCAGAAATCGGCTGACTTCGACAACATATTACAATGATTATTTCTTGATGTGGATTGGGAGTCAATAGTCTATCTCAGTCAACGCATTACGGCTGGGCTTGCGATGATTCGATCGACTGGGGTACAGAGTAGTATGCAGGCTAGCCAGCACATCTATATATATATATACACGTTGTTTGATTGACAGCCCACTTAGATATGAATGATGTGTTATGTTTTTTTGAGGGTAACAGAAAGACTTATGGGAGGTCATGGCTCATGGATGTTACATTAACGTTTCTGAATGCTTTATCTATAAAACACTAGCTAGCACAGTTATTTACGTAGAAAGTTTTGCGGATTTTTTTTTGTTACTTCATAGCTATGGAATATCTGCGTATATTAAGTTTTTGCGACTAGCGGTTCACACGATTGCGTTTTTTAGAAAAGCAAGTCTAGCGGAAGATTTAGTTCATCAGCGTCTTTTGAAGATGCTGAATAAGCCCAGAGGATTATTTTCAAGCAGCACTAAATGAGCGAGTTTGAATTACATTGAAGGCACTTGAGAAATAGTGGCATTAACGTAAATTACCTCAATAGTCTTTAAGGGTCGGGGACATCGAGCATACAAACTGCACATATTAAAAAGAGATTTAAAAAATATAATAAAGTTCCCATTTTAAACATGCAATGTCTGAAAATTATTCATACCTAATTGAGTCATTACATAAAAACGAAATTGACCTATACAAACATTTATGAAAGTTTATGGACGTATTGACACGTGTTACCTTTTTGTGGGGTGCATTTATAACTTAGAGAGCCTATAACTAAGAGCCTTTGTAATTCGTTTGTTGGAACGTGCCTTACTTGATGCTCTGCTCATCACGGAAATGAATCAATGTAAATCGAGACTATAATTTTGTGAGAGACGTTGCTGTTGTAACAATGTCATCTCCTCTTGTATATAATCTGTATATATAATGTAGTGAAACAAATAAACGAGAACGACTATTACAGCCAAATCAGCTTGTCTATAGCGTTTACGTGTGGTAAAATATACCGCATCCAAGTGAGCATTTAGTCACTTTTCAAACTTATAAAAAATGTTAATGCAATAAAAAGTTGGCAAATTTTATTCGTTCGATGTCAAATAGGCGATATGCTAATGTCCAAAATGGGTAGCTGCAGAAGTTCACGTAATACTATATGATTAGCAACGTAAAACCACATAAACATATATCCTAACAAGAAAGGTAATTACGGATACATTAAATTTATAAATCTCTATCAAAGTTATTAGTATCTGGGTCTTCCCTGATGGCCTCATGGGTTTCTATGGGGGTACATAAGTCCAAAAGGGCTTACGAAATGATCAAAGAAACATTACAAAATGCACTATAAAGTATTAGGGACTAGGTTATGCGTTCTCTGGGCCATGTATCGTGAGAAGACAGCTCTCCTGTCCAGTGTTTATGACACAGTTGTAAGTTGATTAAAATGTCAATATATTGGTCTCATCAGTGATGATCTGGTAGATGTTTACAAGGTATGATTGAGATAACTGTTATGTAATTTTCTCTAGTCCAAAACATATATAGATTTAATACTAAAAAACTTGGTATTTCTCATATGATTGTTTGCAGACGATTACATTTCTACTGAAAAATACACTATATAATACTTCTACTTCCTGACTTACTGACTAATATCGCCATTCTATTTTAGTAAACAGAGAACACATTCCAGGATATGCTGCGCTCAGGGCTGCCTCTTCTTTACGGAACGACTGAACGTATCCCATTTTTGAGACCTCTTTGAAGTATTTACGATAACCAGAAAGCGTCAAATGATTGCCGTCAGAGAGTTAGTCAGAGCGTTTGGTATAGGCATGTATGGTGTGGGCTGAACTTAATGAAGCGGTTGATGGCATCAACAGCATATTATGCGAGAATCGCCCCATATGGGTCAACTACTAAAGCTTTTCTATAGCAAATGCATAGCCATTGAGAACCAGGCAAATAGCGGTCAGCATACCATATCTACGTATATAGTACGCATACGTGTACAATATGATATTTTGAAATGATATAGGTGCCTTAGTCAAGTTTGAAAAATCTGCTTCTCTGTATGTCTTGGTTAATTGACCGAAAACACCATGCAGCTTGCCACCAATCTGTGCCGTGATGTATTGACTGCTGTGGAAATACGGCAATGCTTCAATCCAATTGAATTCGGGAAAATGATTTTTGCTCACTTCTCAAAGAAAACGGCTCGCGGCAAGAAGTGGTCCCACATCACCATTTCCCAGCGCAGATTTGTTGACTTTAGCGAAGTTTCGTACAGCGGCAGCGTTCACTGTTACTGATGCTCTCTTCATTGGTATAACCGCTTGTCACAGGCGAGATATGTATTTCTAGAGGTACTATAGGTTACGTCGAAGAAAAAAAGGATGTCACTACAATAAACCGCTACAGCAGCAACCATGGTTGCAAGCCATCGTTGTCCTGGCACAAACAAGCAACAATAATGGTGGACAAGACGAGGCACGGCAATAAAATGGTAATGGAGGGAATACAAGACGCCGCTACCTGCCTCGGTTCCAATTTCGACCTGCTCTCACAACTCTCGATTTCGACTTACTCTCACCCCTTTGAGAGCGCGAACCGTTTATAAGGCGCATGTATAACAGTAACATCGTTGCTACAATCGTATCATCTTGCCAGTGTAGCCTACCGCAATAGCAGTAGCGGCAGCCTTCTTTACGCCATGTTTTACATAGAGAATATTAATTGAGCGGGGTGGGTGGTCAAATTAAAGCATGGCTGGCGACGGAAAAGTAAAAGCAAGCCTGAGAGGTGATCATAACGAACAAGATCGCATCGGGACGGGGACGCAGTCAGAGTTCGTGGTGTTTTGTTTCTCGAACGGGTAATTCAAGCAAGATGGATAGCCGCTACAGTGACAAGTATTGTAACGCTGATAATACCTTCGGCTATAGTAATCGTACTTGTAGCATCGAGTTGAAAACAAACAGCGCGGCAAGCAGTTTTTTGTGGTAGTAAATGGTGAATAGGTGACGAAACCTTTCCACCTATCATTCTGATGAGCAGCAGCCCTTGGCTATTGGAATTAACGATTATGGCTGGAAAAGACACGTCGTAGAGACGATACAAGCGCTGACTATTTCCATCTTAGGAATAACTGTCCCATTCGAATTCATTTCCAACCTCTGATCTTTACTAGTTACAATGACGACAAGTCAGCGAGATTTAAAAGTGCGGCGTTTCTAAAATTGCGTGAGATGTACAGTTCTAGTCATGCTCAGGTCCCTAACTAACTAGATTCGCGCTAGTTAAAGGCGCTTTGCTGGCACTTGAACAGAATAATTCGCCAGATCTATAGACCCCTTGCTGAGAAGTTCTGCCGCGATTCTGTAATCAAGCGTGCCAGCGTGCCAACGTGCATTCACCCAGTCAGCATTCATATTACTTCAAGTTGCAAGTGGCAGTCGTGACGTAATTGTATCTCAGCGTACCTCAGCTGCTAAGCCTTCTCTCTCTCTCTCTTACCGAACAAAGGAGAGAGCGGTAAGGCTCGAACTGCGGCTGCTAGCGCACTAAATAATTATCGGTCGTTATAGACATAGACAAGTAACTAAGCGAGCGCTAGAGCAGGGAACGTATTGATGCGACTGCTGTATCCACCCATGTGGTCTCTAGAGTGCGCGACCGAGTTGGCTTCTAATAACCGTAGCAGAAATAGTAACAGGAAACAGACGGATCAAATTCAAGCTCAGTGAGGTTGTCCGCCTTCGTTGGTTAGGTTATTTATCTATGTTCAACTAGACGGTTTAGAATGTGTAGTGTGGCTTTTTCTAGTTGCATCGTAAGAATGGAAGGTTATATTGACTGCTGCGTTGGGCGCGTTTGGCATAGTGGTAATTCCCCATGTTAACGGATTTCGAATGATGCGTTTCGTAAGAGCAGGCATACCTAAATACTTTGTTTCGATGGCCATTAGAAAACGGGCTTTTCGCAAAGGTGCCTAGTTTTTTTTTTTGCTTGGTCACTGAAAATCAATGCAACTAAAATAGGCTTGTCAGCCGCTACAGCCGCAGCTATCAGTAAACGATGTTGGTGGCAATGATACGATTTTCAAAACTGTAATTTTTGTCTACATCGGTTTTGTGTTATGTCGTTTAGCATTGATCTGAGTGAGTTTTTGAGGGGAGAATACGCTCGCATTGCCAGCTCCCGATAGTTCGTGGTCATCCATTCTACATACTTGCGTCGTTGAGCTTAATGCTTTGTGTCCTGTTCGTTGGCAATGTAGTACTGGACGGACACTCGTGTTCCACATTACATCTGTGATATTGACAAGTGGAAGCCATTAAAAATTGTTGGATGATTCAAGCTTACCGGTTTACATTCAGCTCGTATAAACGTCAGACTAATTATATGATTGCTATGGATGCGGTTACTGTGGTAGACTTCCTCGGATATGAGTAGCGGTCTAATAGGGTACCGAAATGCTAACATCGGTGAGTGCGCTGTTGATACGCGGTGATTTGCAAAACACCCTTATCGCCAGGTGACTTCTACAAGGCACCCTTGTTTGCCTATGTCGTGCTCGGTGCGCGTTTGGACCCCCAGTGGTGATTAGTGATCCTATATGACAATACTTGGTCTTGCAGTCGGCTCATATACCCATCGTGATAATCATGTGCCTTTTCAGAAGCAGCGCTCGCTGTCGGACGCTTCATTTGGTCCCCGAAATGTGGACAGTGGTGATGTGACAAGTCACAAAGACGATTCCAGGCCGGCTGACGGCAGCTGTAGCACCACGATGAATGCTCCACTTGATGTGGAACTGTACACCATCCGGAACGTGCTTCGGCTGCCTATCGGTGTGACCATACAAAAGGCTGTCTCGCACTCGACTCATTCAAGAATAGCGATCGCAGCACTCTGCTCGAATGGTAGGATATTTTTAAGGATTTTCTAGGAGTTTACTTGCATTAGTTGTATTAACATGCATGTCGCAAAGGCTTGAATGGCTAAACCGCAAGCTAAGAAGGCCCGAAGTCGATAGTTCAAGTCGCGACAGTGACGAGTGTGACACCCGAATAAATAGTAATTTTATTTATTATTATAATTATTAAGGCGGCAGCAGCAGCAGCAGTTTCTACATTTTTGTTTCTTTTTTTTCCTTATTTAACATGTTTAATGTCGGTATGCATAAATAAAATACCGTGGACTCGCCTGTAAGCGACGAGATGCTAATTGCATCGATCACCTATCAAAAAGTATCAGAAAATGATCATCGCAAGAAGGGAGTAGCTGCCCATTAGACGACGAATTGAACCGAAGATATTGATTTTTGGAAGCAATAGTTTCTTATTTAAAGACAAATGTATGATTTTTGGCACACTGAAACATTTGAACGGTTAACACAACATGTGCTACTTTAAACATACGTTTAAAGTTTTCAGTAGTCAAATACTCGAGCAATACACTACTTCTCACCACAACAAAATAGCTTATTTTTAGCATCGTCGTTAAAATGTAATGTAATCTCCTAACTTTCGGAGCAGTTTTCATAAACCACTATCATCTACAATGTGCTGCAGTAATTATTCACGAATGTTTCCTCTAGAAACCTTTTGTAACTAGAAATGATCTAACTACTATTTTACGTTAGTGATTTATCTATTCAACTATCTATTCATTATCTGTGTGGTTGCGGTGCTACAGGGACGGTAATCGCGTTCACCGAGCACAATGGACGGCGTCGCATCAAGCAATGGCGAGCTGGAGACAGTGAAAATCTGCGACTATTGCTGGATCCATCATGTCACAATGTGGTGCTTATATCGTCATCTGGGGTCATACAGCTTCTGGCCCTCGTCACTTCGCCCGCTGTGCAGCCTTTTCAGACACTCCAGGGAGAGGTAGTGTTCTCAAAGCATGCCAAAGGATCGGCCCTAACAGATGCGTGCTGTTGGGAGACATGCACGGGCGTTCCAATGGTTATACTGGGCTTTGAGGTAGGAATACTGGGCAGTCAATGTAGAAAATAATGCCAATGTGGAATTAAAAACGTTTCAACCTACTGTTAAATTTATCAAAATTGTGCGGCATTTTGACCTCATCCTTAATGAATTCACTTGTGGAGGAAACTTCAAACTTACGAAAGATGTTAGCATCTTATATTATTAAGTTGTTTTTTCTTTACTTTAGATACCTTCGCATGCCTGTGTATTAACATAAGCTGAATTAAGTACTGAATGTATGAACCAATGCCTGGAGGTGTGAAATACCTGGAATTCTTTGAGGAAGATAGTATGGAAACCAAACTGACAAGCATCACTTTAGTGTAAAAATATTTTATGATAATTATCATCATACCGCATGTTTTTCCTCGCTATACACAAGCTCTCTGCCTGACTATTATAGATTATTTTTACGTGAATCATTCACTTGACATAATGTCACCCGTTAAAATTATGCTCCGTAAGGAAACCTTTAGGTCTTGTTGCTTGAGGGCGTTACCTGCTAGATGATCGCCTGAGATCTTCTGTACATTAGATAATAGAGAAGTACAGTCTAAACATCGGTAGGTTATAATATGAGGTTGCTGAAGAAAGGAAGCACGTGTGCTAGTTTTAGAGTCGCCAGTTTCTGTTCAGCTATCGTAGTCTAGGCCATCGTGTGGTTTTTATCATGCCAATCTTAGATAACTAGTTAAAGTTCAAGTGGGGCCTTCATGCATTATTTGGTAGATTATTTTTATGGATTAAATTATTTTTATCAATGTTGGCTTTAAGATATTAGAGGTCCCTTTTTATTAGAATTTAACGTTTGCGGTTAGAAGATGAGTGATTAAGTTAGATCTAAATTCCGTTCCTCGATTATCTACATTGTGCTGCTAGCGAAAAAATAAATCAATCTATGATGCTACGCCTCGCATTCAGAACACACGTGAATCGCATGGCACCAACCCTACATAACTTAAGCACTGGAACAATTAGATGTTTCACTTAAGGCAAAAATGATACCTGTCCAAATGCTTTTTATTTGAATGGATCCCACTTCCTAAGAGTGGGATTATCTTTATTAGTGCCTAATACATAAGTGTTATTATTAAGCAATTAGCCCTGTAAAATCCCCAAATTATTTACAAACAATATTTTTTTTTCTGTATGGTCGATAAAGTTTTACATATCTTATATTAACCTCTTGCCTAACCTTTGATCTGTATTCACCGAGACAGAATCGCGATCTGCTGTTTGTGGAGATTTCGACGGGAGAAGTTCTATATCGAACGACTTCACCATTGCCAATTGATTCGATTTTGGTGTGTCATTCGGACTATCATCGACATCGGCGTCTTCTTGTAGTGCAGACCTCTTTCGGACAAAAAACGCATTTGTGCATCGAGAGCAGAAGCGAGCCCCGCATTGTGTTTCCACCTGATCACCGAGTGGTATTCTTGCCATTGGGGAAGTTCAACGTCGATGTGGAACTCTCCAGCCAGGGTGACCTTGTCAAAGCATTTAACAAAAGGACGTCGACACTTTCCGTAAGTGATTCTTCTCCTCGTCTTCCTAAATCTTTTTTCGTACAAACTTTCTTTCCGCTGTCTTTATAATGTAGTTACCGGCGATTTTTTTGTGGGTCTCCGGAATCGTTACTTCGATATCGCATCAACGATTTACTTCAATAGAGAGGGTAAATTAGCTATTGAAATAGTGGCATCAGGCTCTACTGTACTATTCTACTTTAGTTACTTTGCCTTTCCGTTTACCCCTGCCGGTGCCCAAATTCCGACAATTCAAGAAGAAGAGGCAAAGAAATAGACTAATATAACGATTCCGATCTACAGTTAAATTAACTGCATATGTTTTTCCCACTTTTTTTTCTGTGTCAGCGCTTACTGTCTTCTAAATCGATATAATATCAGTAAGGATATGTATTTCAGATTTAAGATCTATCCAGTGAGAAAAGCGTATAGAGCACTGATGCTTGAAAATTATTGGGTGTTTTACAGGTGTACGATAGTGACGTGCTTGTGGGGGAACCCACGCATGTTATCGATCTTTCCGAAAAATTCAAGTTGCCAAAAATGACAGCAGGATCATTAATCGTGATGTGGCAGGACTTAATGTATATTTCTTCTGAAACTAAACTTTATCTCCTTTCACAGCCGCCAGCCAGCATTACCTCGAAGAAGGTAATGTTTGTTTGAAATACGCTAAAATGCCAGGCGCGTCCAATGCGTTTTGTATGGACCGATTCGAAGTATGCATGCGCATGGTCTGAACCAGTCTGTAACAGCTACAGTCAGTCTCTACAGATGTAAGCACGTGTGATGCCATTCATAACGACTGTGGCCTTGGGAGTTTTTGGCACATGTTTCTAATGTCTGCAGGTGACTAAACCGTGTTATGTCAGATACCTTCATAGGTAGGAATATACAGCTTAAAGTCAAAACACAGGAGAACTATACGACCCATTGCCAACGACCTACACGAAAGACTGCATTTCAAGGTTGTTGTCAGGCAAGCTGTTGAAAAACTACGCCAACATTGCCCTAACCCACGACCACAGTGAAAGCTCTAACTTTAGTTACTGAAGCTGATAACAACTACCCAAAGCATAGCATAATTGTTTTCCCTCTTAGTTCACGTATTGAATTGGGAAACACCTTCTGAACCTATATCTACATAGGTCTAAATATGTCGTCTGAAGAGTACGGCGCGCTGGAATGCCATGGCAGTCTGCCTTCGGCTGTTTATCTACAGTCTTTTTGGTGTTCTTATTGAGCTAGATCACACGCACTTTTCACTTCAAAGAATTAAAGCACTAAGGAAGTACCATTCCATTTACCATTGTTGCCTAGGCTTAACACGAGCTTGCAACCTAGGCTTTAATTCATGTGTGTGTGGGCGCATATACTCAATGTCTATCTCGCTACCACCGATCTTACATACGTGAAGCTATTAAGAAAGCCAACACCTAGGGTGAGCGGGTGAACACAGTGAGCGGTCGTATGCTGTATGTCCCAGGTGCTCTGTTTCAAATTCTAGACAAATGCGTTACCCACTAAGCTATCGCGGGGATTGTCTAATATGCTAAACCTAAACTAATTCGTTACGCTGCACAGACAAAGAGATACACAGGATAGCACACTACCGCTATTACGCCACCTTAAGACTGATTTCCTGGTAGACAAAGGTGTGTTTTCAAACTATGTACTATTAAAGATACAGACGAGCGCGAGTGTCCTTAGCCATAACGCCGAATGCTTGTCGAGCTCACAAAATGCCTCATGAGGCAATAATCTGCACAGCCATTGATGATTCAGTAGCTGTCACAGAAGGCAGGTCTTATAATTTGTCATAGATTCGGTACCAGATGCGAAATTTAGTAATGGCAAAAATAATGGCGGTAGTGCTCATGTATTTGTATAAACGCATATTTGAATAAAATATTGTGTATATATCTATAGTATTTATAGGCGTTTTGCTTTTAAATTATGTTGCCCGCGAGTCGCAGGATTCACGTAATCATTGCACAACCGTAGCTTCTGTGCTATCTCTGATTAGAACAAAGGGCTTGAAGAATGCGCGGAAACGACGATATGTTTGTATTCGTAGCTCGGCGCCGCATGTTCGACGCCGAGTGTGTGAGGTAGATAGCTGGACCATGACGAGACAGCCGTAGATTATAACGGTTTGATAGAAAAATGTGTGACAGACGAAAACGATGTCCAAGGTAAATGGCCAGCAAACATAATTGTGGTTATTGAGTGCCATATTCTGACCCTTATGACTAATCTGAACGGAAGAGAAAGTCGTTGTGTAATGTAAGTCGAAAAGAGGTGTTACTCTGACGCCAATAATTAATATATGCTTATCAATCACAGCGAAACTAGTTTTGCTGGTTTCTAATCGAGAAATTTCGTCTGTTTAGGATACTAGGTGATATAGCTAGTCGTTCGTGCAGCATAGTGGTGACCTAATAAGCGACAACAACATAAATGAGAAGTTATTTCTTTTATGCGCACTAAACGGTTATTTTGGTCAGTATACTTCTAAATGCATTTGCATTTAACACAAGTTAAACAGTTTATTTGTTTTATTGGAAGATAAAGCCGAACTTATGCAGCATAGTTAGTATTACAACAGCAAGAAGAACGAAGGCATGTTTACCTCACAGAAAATTTGGGATTGATTTAGTAGCGGTCTGTGCATTTCCTGCTGGGTGGGTGCTAGCTGTACTCATTCTGAACTGTTTCCCTCTGGAGCTTACCAGCCTATTTCCTGGTGTCTGGAACACGACTATTTTCAGTAATATTTGGAATCTATTAATAATAAATTATTGAATATTGTTTATGATAATAAGGTATGGCAGGACGAAATAAAAAAAAGCACTGCCGTTCTCAAGCATACGTAGTTCATGCTGGAGCAGAACAGGTCAAAAAGGCGAAATGAGTAACCGGGTGTGCCTCGCTTATTCATTGGTCTTTATTTCAGCAGCAGCAGCACCAGCAGCAGCAGCAGGATAAGGTTTCCCCGTTGTTAGCTGAATACAATATGCAAGCGTCAATTGTTAACACCCACGCTTCGCTTTATGCGACGCCAGATGTCACTGAAGCCAAAGGTTCGTCCCGCCCTTTGCTTGTATTGCCGCTGTTTGCGTTGACGTTTCAGCCTTTTGTGCTTTGGGTAGAAGAAAAACTCACAGTTTCAGGCCAAGAAACGTCAGTTACACTGGCGCTAAAGACCGGGGGCTTACTGCTAAAATAATGGCTGCATTTTAACCATAGGAATTTATCCCGCAATTGTGATCAGGATAACACTGACTAGCCCTTGTCTGCTTTCCCCATTCATACTGAATAAACACTTAAGAAACGTATGCAGTCGAAGGAGACAGCATCAAAATTCATTTGACACTGAACAACATGTCGCTAATTAAAATTTTCTACGAACCAAAGCGATGTATGTGAACAAAGCAAAAATCACTATTAAATATATAGTACGCGGCTTGTATTTGAAAATAAAGCATTGACTATAAATATAGAGGTAACGAAGCAATTTACATTTACGCACCTCATATATGACTAGTTAGATAATCCTACGATTGTGCATAGGTGGAATGAAAGTAATGTTATACCATGATGATGCGGTACATCTTCTAATATTACTAAATTGTTGGGATTTGCTTTTTGTATTACATCTCTCTAATAATCTTGTGCCATGTCAGAAAATGGATGCAGTTCCGTAGATATTGTCCCACCCGCAGTGTTCGTTACAACACGAGATTCAATTCAGTTACTCGCCCCAGCGTGCAGCCTTCAAAAAGCATTTGTTCAGCTCGCGACGGAGTCCAGTACTGCTCAGTGTGAACATTTTATTAACCTCTTTCCACGCCTGTCGCCCTTACGACTCTATGAAATGGCGGCCGAAATTGAACTTCGACGAAACAATTTTACGAAGGCCATCAAACTGTACCAAACCTCCAAGGTAATTCTCACTAGAGATACTTCATGTACTTAAGTCTGCTTTTCTACGCTGACTGAATAATATCTTCTATCATAGTCAACAGCGTGACAAAACAGATAACTTTAATAATATCCAGTTATCGCTTCTCAAGCAGCGTTTTACGATAAAATGATCCGTAGTAATGGAACCATTCTCTAATCAGTTATTTAACCCTAACTTTAAAAAATCGTTGGGTTTCATTATGTTCAATATTGCTTCGGTATGCTGGCCCCTTCTAGCATAAAAGGAAGTGCGTCCACGTCCGGTTTCGAACCTAGGGCAGCTCACGTGTTACTAACGTTAAATTAGAACAATTTTTCTGTTGTCCTGTCACCGAACGTTCGACGCCTCGCAGTGCGGTCAACTGAAGCGCATCGCACATTTCGTTTCGTCAGGATCACTAGCGGAGTTGCTAGCCTATTCGCAGGTCGTTTTTTCAACCCGCTGCCACGAGCTTCAACAGGTTGACCGACCACATCTCGCCAATTTCGCCGTTCTCTGTTTTGTGCACCAACTACTCGAGAAGCATGATCAGCGAGAGGTTATAACGAATGCATTCAGGTAAGACGTTCAATAGTCGACGGATTTGAGCGGTGGATAGAGCAAAACGGAGGCCACGTGTGACTGCTGACGGACATGATGATAGTAGTGAAGTGTTTTAGCTGTCGTTAATACAAATATGATTAGAGTGACTTTATATGAAAAAAAATTGTGTTTACTTAAGTAAGTAATTTCGTTTATTACATGCATTAGGTAACATTCATGCGCCGTTGGTAGGTCTCGGAAGCCACAACGAGATTTTTCGCAAAGAGAGGTTTGGCCTTCGAAGCCACCGCATGTCAATTATGCACATCGTTTGTTTCATTCTACAGCCGTTTCTACCTGTACGTATCATTTAGAGATTGACTTGGTTTTATTTGTCCTTCTTGTCATTTCGCAGGACATTTCTAGTCGACAACGTATACTACAGTGATATCGTCGTTATTCGGACGTTGTGCAATTTTAAGCTTTACAGTCTGCTGAGTTATTTTTCACGACTGCATAACCAGCTCGCGCTGATGGCCGACTTTCTCTTCAAGAACCTTCAAGGACCGTCTGACACACAGGTCTGTCAAAGTTACAGCGCCGCCACGCTAAAACAGGAACAAACCGCCATTCAGGAATGTCTTACGGGTAGGTATCTTCTGTGTCGCTGTGCAGCTCTTCTGTCAGGTCACAGAATAATATAATCATTCATGTATGAAACGAGGCGAGCTTTGGCAATATAACTGTTACCTTCCGTAGACCTAACTGACCTAAGAACGATACGATGTCACGTAAATGGTTTCGCAAGTTGTTTCTTTCTTAGATTATTTAAGTGTCAAAGAACCTGAGACACGTTTAAAGTAGAACTTGTGGGTTATCCAGAAGTTTAATAATGTATGAAACTTTGCTCAAAAGTAGTCTATGACTCAGCAGACTTGATAATGCTAATAATAGAATTTCCGGCATGCATTTGTCACACAGGTCATCCGGAAATGGTCCTTGCTCTTTGCACGAGTCCTGGTCTACTCGCTCGTTATCTAAGAACCTGTTGCGATCTTCTACAGATCTCTGACTGCACCCACAAACTAGCCGCCCTATTCGATCCGTCCAAACCGTGCAATAAACTCGCCATACGAAAGCTTTTTCTTACGCCAAAAAGGCAACGGTGAGTGTGCTAATGTGATCGGTTATAAATGCTGGACACAACCATTGTATCTACGCATATATTTCTGCGTTGTCGTTGATGAAATTTTATTATATGGCCATTTACTATACTGCATTTTCTTGGGCTCTGTTAACGTTGTCTCTCTAAGTATTCTTACGCATTACGTATAACAGGTGCATACGATTGGTACGAGCACTTGAAGTGCCGTATTCCGTGCTTGAACAGGACACTGAACTTGCATTCGGCGGATTTGAAAAGTGCCTTATTCAGCCAACGGCCGAATGTACGAGGCGTAGTCACAGCACTTGTATTAGCCATGTTCACCAGAGTTACATTATGGTTCCTGATGACGCTTGGGTACCATCTGCTCAATTATTGTTAATAACCCGCTTGGTCAAGGTTCTTTATTTTGTCAACCGTTCGCCAGCATGGCTCTATATATTCACAGGTAGTGTATATACAGTTGTTTTCTAGCCTTAATGGTTTTCAAATGGCTTCCAGACTGCCGTTTTGTTGTTGTTGAATGTTTAACAAAGCGCCCTGAAATGCTGTTATTGACAGTTCAAGGACAAAGCTTTTCGTAGGTGTCTTCGACCTTCGACGCCATAGTATGCGTCCGCTTGAGGTATTTGACTCTTCAGCAGGCTGTTATTTTGGACATTTTGAAAAGGTTGATAAGGATATTCTTCAGGGATATCAACGATGGACATAGGACGAGGCAACAGATATGTTGCTTACAGCAAATGTTGCAAATCATGAGGCTTTTCTTAGCGCGTTCACCTAGTGCATACAACGGAGTTCAATACGTTGGACGTTTGTCGTCAGAATACGCACTGTCAATTTTAGCCAAAGAAGAAAATGAGTTTGGATTTTATTCATGCTTCATTCATTAAGCATAATTATTCTATGTAGATAATCCCGCTGACTCGTAGTGGACCTTATACGTCGTATACTAAAATTGTTAAACATTTGTGAAAGTATATGTAGGATTTCTAAATCCGAATAAGTTAACTTGAGACTCATATTAACTATTAATACTAGCTGAAAATATCAGGCCGAGATTTCAAGCCATTTGAGGAGTGTCCAACTGTTTTCAATTACTGGTCAGCCGAACTATACAAAATCCACCATGAAATTTATAGCAAATAGACTTATAATATATATTGGGCTTTCAATCACTGCTAGATTTAGATGAGGTTCTCCTTGTTTTTATATTGATTATTCAAAAGCGATTTTCACATCTTTGACTGACCACTGGCTATGTATGTTGTAACTATGTCCCTGCCTCTGATATTTAATCGGACCAGATTCTCACGGTATACAATGGTCAATAAAATTGATTCACTTGTTGTATTAATTAATTTTTGAATGTATTACGTTTTTTTCCAGTTGTGCCAAATCTGAAACATCGCTGATCTCAGCGGATTCGCTCGACGCCTCGTCTCTCGACGCGTCCGATGATCCATCGTTGGTATCCGAGCAGGACGTCCTTAAACTTTTTCTTTTCGTTCTGCTGCTCCTTAATCGAAATGCAGCACAAGAACAAAACGATATCAGCAATGGTAATGCCTTTAATGGCGAAGGGCATAGTAATAACTGGGAACATAATAATAAACCAGAATTCCAGTCGGCGCTTATCAGAGTGTTTGAGTTCCATCCGCAGCCATCGCGAGCCATCACCCCAGTTGGCATTCATTTGGCGGCCGGACCTTCGTATGCGGCGTTGTGTGCCCGCGGCAAAGCCTACGTCTGGGGAACAAACCGCGCTGGACGGTGAGTTTTATCATAAAGAAAACATTCCTCCTTTATGCGTATCGTGCAATTGCTTATGATCGTATATAGTTATAATATACTGTATATAATTATTTAGTAATCAACTCCTTGAGCTGTATTCAAAATGAGATATTGTATGGTCTCTTAATAATATCAATCTGATTTTGTTGATATATAAGATATCAATAGAATTGTGTCAAACTTTTTTATGTATTCAGTTTCATTCGACCTTACAGGGCACGAATGTAATAGTAATTTTTAAATTTTATATATAATTATTACATAATTTTGAAAATGTGCTATCGGTTCGGTTTATTGGGTACTTCACCTATTCACATAAGCTAAGAGAGTATGTTTCGCATTAGATGTAACAGGCACAGTAGGAAAAAGCCTCCTGAAAGGCTGTCTTAGCGAACATTAACCTCCTGGATGTTTTTACTTAGTCATTACATTAATAAGCGAATTTTCACTCTATAAGACGTCCAGACGAGTTTTATAAATGTGGAATAATTTTAAAACAAATTCGAAATTCGAACCCAATGTATTATTATCTTCTATTGTTCGACCTATTATGCTACATATATGATAGTTATCCTGTGGTTAAGCCTTATATAACTAATCCAGGCCTACACGAATTCAAAATTTGATACTAGTGCACAAATGTATGCGAGACCACGCCATTGGGTGGCGAAAAGCATACCTAGGTGTTGTATTTTAAATAAATTGTAATTTTTTGTCAAACTTCTAAGTATATCTTGGAAGAGAAGTTTATCATCTGTGTGTTTATCGTCAAAATTATTGTGTTTCTTAAAGAAACGTTTGTTTTCAATGTACTCTGTGCTATTTCTCTTTTGTTCATTGTCATTCACCAGCTTCGGCGAAGGTGAGCCTTCGTTTGGCGAAACGATAAGCCCACAACGAGTGTCGTATCTGGACCTACTTCGTGTGAATGTCACACAGGTGGCGTGCGGCACCATGCACACGCTGTTTCTTACAGACCACGGGGTAAGTCCAGCTTTCAGAGATAATTACGAAGAATATAGATTGGTTTACAGATGATGACGACTTAGATGATGCTCTTCGAAAAAGTATATGCAAGAAATTACTGCGTTCTAAAATAACAGCTGATGTTGCCGATGCTGATTTCATGGACGACGCTATCTGTCGTATAGGTTTAAGAAGCGTTTCACTGGATATACATGGTGTTATGATGGGAAGCATTCAAAATTGTTAACCTTGTGTTGTATCATTAGCATCCTTCCTAGCGACAGCGAGGGATTAATAGCCACACGATTTACAATAGGCCACTATTTCTATTGTGGTTCGTTAGGTATTTGCATCAGGAGCATCAAACTTCGGACAATTGGGCCTTGGTTTAGAAGTTCGCCGTTCTCAGCATCCTCAGTTAGTGGAGGCTTTTCACGAACATTCGGTTAAACAAGTTGTTTGCGGGGCATACCATTCGATGGCTCTTACGCACGCGGGCAAGTACGTGTATTACCAACGTTTATAACGTGTCAATGCATTATAATCGTTAACTTCACATGTGCTGAACTCAAAATTTTAACTGTATTTAATCGTAATTCTTAGGAAATGAGTAATCACCTTAGCCACTATACAAAATATAAAAATCGAATTTCCTCGTGTTAACTAAGTCGCAAACAACGTTACAAACATACTTGATGTTAAACAAAAATTGATGCATGTAAGATACAATTATGTAGAATTTACCAGATTATTAATATTATAAGCAATAGAGCAGATCTAAAATACAGTTGTATTCTATTGATATACTTTACGCCCTAGCACTTTTTTCTTCGACATGCGAAGCTTTTGTTTAAAAAAAAAACATATTATGTAAATAGGTACAGTCTGCTCGTGTTATGGAACAAACAGTTTTTTTTTTAGCTACCTAGGATACAAGATGAAGTGCAAAGAGAATATTTTTCAATATCGAAACGAAATTAAATGGGGTAGACCAGAGTCTTGGCAGTCACGGGCATAATCGTTAGATTGTAGGCGGAAGGGTGTGACTCTCCAGCGCTGTACCCGCTGGGCTTCGGAGCTACCCATCATGAAGTTCGTTTTATCTTATTCAGTGGTATCGTTCTGCTGTTACCGGGCGGCGAGAAAAGCCAAAGTTGAGTCAAGCTTCTACCGCTGTTGTTGCTATCATCATTCAGGCGTAAGATTATATTTTTTTTAAGGGTGGAACGGTGGTGTATGCCGATTAATAAGGTATGATAAGCCAGTGAAGCATCAGAAGTTTTATGGCGTTGTTGCATGGAATTATTTAAGTGTTTAGCGCAGACCAAACGTATTTCTCATATTGTTGAGCGCCTATATCAAAAGCAGGTCTTGCTTGATGAATACAATGCCATATTCGCCAGTTTAGCTTTGTTTTTTATATTATCTTTTTCAAGATTCGTTTTCGAAGCGACAGTTTTGATTTCTATGTGCCTCGAGCGAGGTACTTCCAAAGCTCATAACAATATAAATAGGATTGAAAAAGATGGTCTAATATGAATGATTATATGCCAAGCGGTGCCCATAGTTTATTTTATGTTTTGTTATGGGTGCGTATGTAAGCCGCAGTCCCATTGGGGTTTGACTTTTGAGATTGTTATCCATTCTACTATTATTTGCGCATACAAGAAGCTAACAGTTCTGCTTCAAGCCCCGCTATCGACATACACTAGGTAACAGGGGTAATTATATAAAAAGAAAATATGTATATATGTGTAAATGATATGTTGACGAAAATATTGTTTTTCAGAGTGTTTTGCTGGGGCTGGGGTGTTCACGGCCAGTTAGGCCAGGGTTCTACAAATGATTATTTTCTACCAGCCGCTGTGAAGGGTTTCCCAGCGACGCCTATTCAGGTAGGTGCCGGGGGAGCTCATTCCATCGTTTTGTGTCACGATGGCCGTGTTGTGGCCTTCGGATGCAACGCCTTCGGCCAATTGGGACTCGGAAATCGTACGAAGTTCTCCAGACCACAGCTCGTCCGTTTACCAACAAACAGCATCTCGATGATCGCTGTCGGATTTTTCCAGACAGTGAGGGTTTTTAGAATTCAGTTTAAGTTTTGATTTATGTTTTGCTATGGGTGCGTATGTAAGCCGCAGTCCCATTGGGGTTTGACTTTTGAGATTTTTATCCATTCTACTATTATTTACGCTTACAAGAAGCTAACAGTTCTACTTCAAGCCCCGCTATCGATATATACTAGGTAACAGGGGTAATTATATAAAAAGAAAATATGTATATATATGTAAATAATATTTTAACGAAAATATTGTTTTTCAGAGTGTTTTACTGGGGCTGGGGTATTCACGGCCAGTTAGGCCAGGGAGTGAACACTCTTATAAGAATAAATTTGACTTAATTTTCATTAACAATAAATGTTTCATATATTATATATATATATATACATTTTTATTTTACATGTATGTCGTATCTATTCGTTCATTATACGCTATATAATATAATTTTCGCATTCGCTTCGTCCGACGCTTACTTTCCTTTAAGTATGCGCTATCAACCAAGCCAGCATATCGAATCTATACTTGGGGGTGCAATCCTCAAAGTCTACGGCTTCAGGCTCAGTCGCAAAAAAGATTTCGTCAACAGCAGCAAGGTAAGAAGTCTTGATTCTTTGTCCTAAATCAACGTTGACCGAAGCATTCTTAAGGAGGATTACTCTTGAATGTTGTGTTTACAGTATGATCAATATAACTGTTCGTAACAAGAGTAGTAACTCTTTAATCTATAATTTGATTACTGTTTGAGCCTCTATTTACTTTTTGATTTGAAGAATAAAATACTTAAGTAAATAATGAACGTCTTTATCAACTTCACAGGTTCAGGTAATGCTAATGGAAGCAAGGGTTCATCAGATGATTCGTCTAATCCGATGGCGTACTTAAGTCCGTCACTCTTGTGTGATTTGAGCCATGGGGTGGCGTCAATGTCGGCGGGATATAATCACGTTGCATTGGTAACGACAAGAGGCGAGCTACTCACAGCAGGCAGGAACTCTGAAGGCCAGCTTGGCCACGGACATCGAAAAGATATTGTAAGTAGCAATAGGCATGTACAAGCGTTAATGTTAATGACTTCTGCTACACTTTACCTGTTTAAAATGTAAGTGGTGGGGAAACCGATGGTTACTTCGGCTGTGTTGACCATTATCGTTCGCCCAATGCATTCCTCAAGGCATTCGATTAGCCCTAAATAAACTTTGGTAATGTCTTAACAGGCAACTCCAACGGCAATATCATCCCTGGCTAATCGGCAGATGGTGTCGGTGGCATGTGGTAAAGATTTCACCCTAGCCGTGGACAATACTGGCAAAGTTATGGCCTGGGGTCAAAATGATTCAAGCCAGCTTGCGCTTAAAACCGTAATACATGTTAAGGAACCCGAGGTAGGTTACTCTAAATAAATATAAGCTAAATCGGGCTAACAGCCTTACCTGTTATTACTTTTCGTCTAGATCTGTTCATTGAAATTTTGTTTAATTGCCACGGTGTAGAAGAAAAAAAAACAATATTAAAGCTTGCAGTTTATCTGTTATAAATGAAGTGATTCCTGTTCTGTTCCTTAATAATTTCTTTCTGTTTTTGTTCATATTTAGGCTAATTTATTCCGCTAAGGTACGAAAAAATCTGCATAATAGAGCGCTTCGATTGCTTTAAAACAGCCTCTGCTACCTTTCATTATCGAAGGACCTGGATTTAAACTAGTGGCAGATGCAAACAAATTTTTTCTTCTTATGCAACGTAATTTTTTATTCATTCCATTTCATACGTCCTAAATATTTAAACATGTTAATATTCTATTTTTACTCAGGCTACGAATCGCGTGATCATGGTACGTACCGCCCGGCGAGTCATCAATATACCCCATGTACTGAAACATGGTGAACTCAAGCCTGTACCCTGTTCGGGCCTTCCACCGGAGGTAGCTCAAGCCCATATTCCGAATGTGGACATCTCTGAGATGGAGATGTCTGCCCGCCAGAGGCTGTTCTTTGCGACACATTCAGAGCGCCTGCTTAATTGCCCTCCCCTTAGCCTTATGGACCCCACTCCGTATGTTGGTGGGGCAGCCCTCCACGCAACTTTGGCAATCTTCCATTCTTCGTACGATTCAGCGTTAATGCTTGAGCATTGTGATTCCTTGGGTGATCACCAGGCAGCGGCCAAAATCGCTCTCTTGGAGGGTAGGTTAACTAAGGCCCTTGAACATCAGCTAAAGGCAGTGAAAAGGTGTAAAAACCCAAAATCATCTCTGAAAGAGGTGCTCGATTATTATTGCAGTCGGGTAGATGACACGATGAGTTCAGAAAGCATCAAAGCATTCCTAAATTTAGCCATCACTGCGTGGATTGAGATGTTATTCGATGTATCAGAACTAGAGGCGATACTTACGACTCATTTAGATCGCATAGGACTTGCATTGGGACTGCTTCTATTCTGTGACGCCAAGGCAGTGGCCGAAGTCTGTCTAGGTGTTGAGGGGGTCGCTGAGAACTTTTCTCCTGAGTTTAACGAACGTCTTATGGACCTAGTCAACGGTGCTATGAACTCGCCTGAAGGAGATGTTGCCGCCTGTCAAGGAATTATTGAAGTTACTGGTAAATCAATTCATATTATAATTAAACTTTATGGTCATGTTTAACGTAACACAGTTTGTTAATAGGAATAAGAAGCAATCACGATTAAGAGCTCGAGATTCAGTAGCTGAAATCTAGGTATCATAACTTGCGCTTGACACTGCTAGATCTTATGGATTCGCCGTAATAGCTACAATTTATTGGTGCATCTTATCACAATTTAAATGTTTTCTTTTTATTGTACTACGTAGGTTGTGGTAAAATTCTAGACGATATTCGCCGAGAGGACGCGATGACTACGTCTTCTTCGGAAAAGTTTCGCAAGAAGCTTGCATCTCAGGTCCGCCAAAAAATTAAGCAAAACTCTATGCCACCTGCACCCATTGTGGTAAGCTACTAGATGAGTAGTTCGCGGTAGCTGAGATGTCTCACGATGTGTTTTTCACCTGAACGATGCGCTTCTTTGCTACATGCCCACATTTAGTGAATTTTGCTGCCATTATATACACACACACCATAATTAATGTTGATAAGATATATGGATAGAAATTCGGACTTGTCACAAGCTATTTGAACACAATTACTAGAATACCTCCACCCTTTCTTACGTAGGTCTCTTCACTGGACGCTAAACGTCTCGTTCAGGCTGCAGGTGGGCCCGCAGTGGTCTTCTCATGTGGCCATCATGCCCCCTCGAGCCAAGTCGAACTTAGCTCTTTGGGGACCTCGTTGCCATCCGACCAGCTGGATCGGGTCACATCTTTATACGCTACACAAGGTCGTCCTATTCCCTTAGCTTGTCCTTCTTGCGTCCTTGAGCGGTTGTCTTCGTCAAGCCTACACGAGGACTCTGCCACCTCTATATACGCAGCAGCGACCGCAGCAACTAACAGCACACCGGCGGCTAGCCAATAGATAAATGTGTTGTAGGACTTAATATTTTTTTAACTTAATGTATGAGATTTGCTTCTCGCTAAGCCCAATAGAGCAGCAGATTTAGGAAAAAACAGTGTTCGTGTCTGCATAGGTCATGCGCTAACGTGCTTCGAATTGATTCGGTCAAGTGAATTGGGATCTCTGTTGATTCAGTCGATTGTGATAATAGGCGGTTTGACTTTATAATATAATCCTTAACCCTGACAGATTACCCTTAGACCCTTGGAGAGATGCGCTCGCCTGCGAATACAACGTTTTTATTCTGTAGAGTATGTAAGTGCTTGCCAGTTATAAAAGACGGTGAGCATTGATTGTCAAGACTACATTCGAATTTCCGGCTCTAATATAATAGCAGCACCTAGCACTCGCATCCTGTTGTCGGGGGTTGATTATTTCTTATTACACTACGCTTAATATCATTGTTATTATCAAAAATAAACTTTACATGAATCTGTACAATATATATATATATATATATATATATATATATATATATATATATATATATAAAAAGAGAGACGCGATAATGAAATAAATGAGGAATTGCAGTGTAATAATCGGTACTCCGTCAACTATCAAAAATCCCATGTGCCTAGCATTAACTTCGCACTGAGTTAGCCTATTGACCAGCACGATGGATACTGCAGTAATAGAACTTCTCCCTTCCGACCTATAGTTAGATCGAAAAGAAATCCCTTGTTCACGTGCCAAGCAATGCTCTATAGTGACATATGTGATATGATAGGGGATGCGATATTGACCTGTGGTTACATCTTCATCAACAAATGTGAAAACAGCTAAACATGTTTAAATACTCTAGTGCAATCGAAGATACTCTATTATTTGCGCTCTTGGTATACATATAAGTATATATTATGTGCTACATATGAGATAGAAATAGACATGTAGGTGGCATTCAATGTCTGGCATGGTCACGTTCCCACGTTGGCACTACGAGAGCTGAATTGTACTATAAATAGGTTTACATACATAGTAAACAAAGAAATAATAACAGAAAATTACCAAATATACTATATGATGATAATCACGAAATAATACAAAAATAGTAAGATGGTGCACACCAATCATGCCAAAAACAAATGATACTATATTTGTATACACATGTCTCCCTATATATATATATATATATATATATATATATATATATATATATATATGAAGATTTTTTAATAAGTTATTATATATTATCAAAAGAAGTATATGAGTATCCATCTGATTTAGCCAAACCTGAACTATATATGTCCAAGTGTAGCATAGATAGTAAAAAGTTGGAATCTGCGTTTCTCGTAAGTAGTATTAAGCGATGACCAAAATAAATGTACTGCAGTAATGTATACAGTTAAAATATAGTGTTTTCAACGTATCAGTCAACGCAACGGAATATATAAAATTACCGTATTTAATATTTAGGGGACGAGATTAGTTTGGCGTTAGCCCATTCGTTGCATCACTGAAAATTGAATCCCGCCATTCTGGTTTGAATGGATTGTGACAATGCACGATTACCTTGCTAGATGTAGACTTTTGGCATTTTCCTACATTGAATAAACAAAACGATTTTTCATCTGGTTGATCGTTTTGGATACAGGGACTGAAAGCACGCAACACCAACTCTTCAACGGTGCTTCTCAGAAGCCGACAATGTGCGCACTGGCGTGGCTCAATATGCCGTTAGCCTTACTTATTTGATAAACAAATTAAAAGCTATTTTAACTAATCTAAATAGTTTATTATTGTTTTCAATATAAAATTGAGTTTTCTAAAGCGCGATTTTTCAGTTAAGAACTTTCAAAGAGCGAATCATCAGAATCGATTTTTACATTATGTAGGACTACATCATACGAACATTATTTATTTTATATTTAAGGATAAATTATAATCTAATATGTACATAAAACGGATATAATAGCTTTAACCTTTAGACTTCGTTGTACGTTAGGCCGTTTTCACAGAAGAACTTTATATTGCGTTTCATAATAATAGGACGTAGTAGGTTCTTTTTCCCTTACACAAATGTCTAGCTCGTGCCGTTAGGCTTCATATGAACGAATGGAAATTTCCGCAAATATGTTCTGTTCATAGCATAGTCGCTTGAGCTGTTTCATTGTGCTCTATTATAACGTTATCAAATATAGTAATAATGACCTGCCATGTTCTTTACTATTTTATTGCATCGAGTTTTCTAGGCGTTTTACCATTTGCTTTTTTTTTTTTATCCATGCTCAGTTCATGATCTATGCCACCTCAGTGATAACGCATGTGTATCTATAAGGCACCGACCAAGAGACAAATATGTAATCTGCGGCGCGCAATTTACCTAATATTCACCAAATATAGGCCTAGGTATGATTCCCATGACGGTGCAATGGTTTTGCTGTTTGCCTACTAGAGATTGTTACCATTTGCTAAGTATCTATATGGTTGTTTATCATACGACAAACGTGAAAATATATTATAGAAATACTTAGTTTTAATTATACGGAAAAACGTATTTCGGGTAGTAGTGTCCGTTATTACGAAACATCGTCAGAGCGTACGCAAACGTAAGGGCAAATTTTCCTTGGTGTTGTTTATATGAGGTTTAAATATGCATGGCTTGATTGACAAAGAACTAAATTTATTCGCTACATCTGGCGGACGGCATGATAACTGAACTTCGATGGAGTACAAGCAGACATAGCTTTGAAGGACATGTGAATTAATGAAATATAGTATCAATATATTTTCATTCACGGTAACAGATGCGGATCTTGTAATATGTCAAGTAATATAGCATTGCATCCGATTATCATCCGCTGCAGGTCAGTTAATGGATAGCTGACGGCATTATTTCGGTGCGTCCTACATTACAGCGGCACGCTATGCATTTGGCTTACTGAGTTCGTTTAATAATAGATTAGGTAGTCAGTGGCATCCAATTTTCTCGATGATGTACACATATTTGATTTCATTTCATCCTATTCTGTTCTTTTGGAGCAGCGTAAGGAAAGAATTTTGATTTTTCAGTGGCGGGAAAACTGAATTTTCATCAAAATCCAGTTTGCCGTCAAATATGTCAATGTAAGCGGAACCAATCTTTTTCTGTTTCAGATAATTAACATGTATGCGGCTAGAATCCGGTCAACGCAGTAGGCATCCTGTTATTCTTGCTTTTTTGGTCAGGATCTTGCATCTTTTTCACTGCTTCAGCTTACGCGTTTTTCATGTCGGTTTAAGAGCCGATATGCGCTTTTCCCAGAAGAAACAGAAATGATTGCCGAACGTTTTAAAAACATCGAGATCAAAATTGAGTCGCACAGTATCCAACCAGACCAATGTATCAAAAATCTTAATATCAAATGTATAGAATAGTAAAATACCTGTATAACGGCATCTTTAAATACATCCGTTCAATAGGTCTTCGTAGGACTGACACACTCATAGTGTTTGCAAACTTCTTTCTCTAGAGTTTCGTTTGGTGTATATGAATCAACGGACTAAACAACATCATCATTAAGTCAGCCATTTTTACCTCTAATTTTCAATCATTTATCGGAATAAGCCAGTAATGAGAGAGGGTTTGACTAACAGATATTTAGAGCTACGAAAATGTGTTGACATTCAGTTTTTCACTAACCGAATCTGTGTGCAGATGCTCAGCTTAATGGTAACCTATTTGATTGTACATCTGTGGATGGCCCAGGCAAATGAACCACCAAATGAAGAGCCACAAGTGAAAAGAACACTGGTGCCGTTTTTTAGGCATCATATTTATTGTACGAGCAATAATTGCAATCTTTTAAACTAGTTTTTTACTACCATAAACATATTATATATATATATATATATATATATAATGTTCAGAGACCTTGATAAATCTAGCTACCCATTCATATCTGTGAGACTGAAATTGTATATTGTAAATGACAGCTTTCATTGTTGATAACAGGTGCCGTCTGTGATACTCTATTTCTTAACTTCTTAATTAACTTAAAAGCATAAATTAAAAATTCCTCTGATGAATGGATGCTTGTACAAAAATTTTGATAGTCTTTTTTATCAGATACGGATTACACGATGCTTGACATTATAACGTGCGTAAGTGTTTTCTAATTCATCGCAAAACTAAATTTATATGGATTATACTGAAAAAACAACTGGAGTGTTGTTTCCTATTAGAGTAGGCTACAAAAGTTTCAGAATTTACGTCAGATATCTAACTCGTCATACATCGCTTTAGATGCTTTACCTTCCACGAAACAAAGTATGCTTTCACCTTGTTTCGAATCTCGACGGGCGCGCGACTTCAAATTTGGTAGACAACCACCTTATTCCTGTACTATCACTGGGAATAAGCTGTGGAAATAGTTGGTCGCGGATAGATGATTTTACATCGTTGAATGCTATGCTCGTAATCTGCTTAGTGTTGTATAGATTATACAATTGTCCTCTTAATTCAATTTGAAGAGGAGACACCCTTGACGAGCAGTTGTCATACCGTGTTTATTTGTGTAGGTTGTACATCGTGGAGAAAAAGTACTGACGTGCTGTGAAAATTAGTTCTTTGCTTGGAAAATTGATTAATTTTTTGCTTAAAGAAGTACGGGACAGAAGTCTGGTCTAAGGATATTTGCTTTAGAAAGCTGACGTTCAACTTACGCTTTATGGCACACGTGCCCAGCTATCTTGGTCAATAAAAAAATGTTTGGTTTGAATTCACCTCATTGCTTTTAATTTTAAAACACGACTGACCTCTAATAACAGCTTTTCTTAAAGTGAATGATTCTCACGGTTTTAAATTATTCGTCACCGATTACGTCATTTTCTATGAACAAAACCACGACTTGTTTCAATGTTAAGAAACCAAAGTTTTTAAGAAATTACTTTTTTGTTTGGTCTGAATTTACATTGAACAAATGTAAGTTTTGACAGCTTAAACAAAAAACTGGAGCTAAAGTAATATAAGCTAGTCGTGTTTCGATGCAAATGAGCTTAAAACGCTTGCTTCGAAGGCTTGCAAAGAGTGTATGTATATTATTGTCACACTAAGAGTACAAACAAATTACATTCATCTGTTATGAATGCTCACCTCACCTCTCATTTCACGCTTTTTTCTGCTGATACTGCAACTGTTGCAGGCGAAATTTCTTAGCTCTAGCGTTTAGACAACGGTTGCATGTCAAGCGTTGCCGTTCTTTGGTCCGCATAGCAATGGTTTTACTCGCCCAACTAATCGCATGGTAAGCATGCCTCGATTAGATATTAATTTTAACATTTAAAAGCGAACCATTTATCTTGCTTGCTCATAAAGCCAATTGTAAGCTTTTACATAATCTAAAATAACTTAGGCGGGTTTGTACACTTAATAGGTTATAACCACTGTAAGGTCTTTCTAGGCAATGTATTATTTTGCATAGTGGTTCCGCGCCTCGACTAATTCGAAAAACGAAGGGTTGCTATGCTTTATGGCGATTTCGAAAACATCGGAGTAGGATCATAATTTCGAAACAAAATAAAAACACACTGATTACACGTGCGCTAGCTGACTTTTGTTATAAGAAATTGAATGTTTTGAGCTGAACCGAACGTCACTATTCTTGAGATCGTGTGCAAATCTATGGTCGTCGTTCGAATTGTTAAGTTGTGTTTATGTTGTAATCAGTGACGCCAAAATACGTTTGTAAATTAACGAAGCGGTTCTGTTTCATAAGTATACTCATTCAATTTAATTAACTTAGAAATCAGAAAGCGACAAAATTCCAAATTTGTTAAACGTGCGAATTCCACATCAAGTTCTTACCGTATACAAATAAATAAATAGGTGAGATATTTACTGTATATTATATAAAAATATTAATAACCCTTATATTTGAAAAATACGCAGTATGGTGCTTGTACTCTTACACTGTATCAAAGACCCAATTACAATCTTCAACAACAAACATTTTATACTATGGACCGGTTTTAGATGCTTAGGTAAAAAATGTACGTAAATGCAAACACCTTGCGTTTTATGCTAAAAGCTAACGTTTGACAACATACCTAATAATACCGGATTTGGAACTAGGTTTATTGGATGAGATGTGCATGTTATATATGTATATTCCCATCTATTTCAGTGTTATTAGAGAAGTATTTGCCGGTTCCTTATCAGCTTAAACAGGCGCCACTCGTTATGAGGTTTCTTTAAATACGCAGATTTTTCGGTCTCAGTTTTGAACTAATGCCTTTCATAAAATCTATAAATCAATACTAAACACACATGTTTTTTTGGCCAATATAGGAATATTGGAACATTGGTGTATAACATGCTTCTAGATTTCTGAACTTCCACATTGTCCCAAGTTTTCCTACTACGTCGAATACAGATATGCGCCTTTCTCACGCCAGGGTTTTTACGAAACATATGAAGCGCAGCGAATTTAACAGTGTGGTTGTGGATGTCGTTATTAGCTAGTTTTACTGAATACAAATAAAGAGTACCTATTAACGAATTTCAGAGAGGGAAAGGAAAGTAAATTAAGAAGTCATGTCTAAAGCTGATGACTATAATGTCATTCCCGTGAAATTCAGTTCACGACTTCCGGGTGTCCATGAAGTGTTCATAAAAGTCGACACTACGATAGGAAATGACAAAGTCCATAGGCCCCGCGGAAGAACGTTATTTATAGCCAATATACCTCCATGGATGATGACTAAAGACGTAAGTACCGCTAGTAGACTTACGATTCGTATTTGAACTGGAATGGGTATACAAGAAAAAATATGTTTATATGAAAATTTCCTGAAAAAGGCTACAGAAACGTTATCGGTAGTATGGTTATTCTCCTTTAAGAAAAACGAATTCATGGTAGCCTCGTAAACTAGAACCAGCAGTTTTTATCTATACTTTCGAACAGCGGCAGCGCTCATCAGTGTATCATTTCAATTCCGAAACCTTTCTTGCTGCCTGTCGACACATTTTTTATTTCGTTTGTTTTTTTTCTTGTAGAGAAGGCATATTCGCAGAATACAAGAGTAAATTATTGAATACATTTCCTGCCTCTGTTAGATTCTTTATCTACTCTACCCGTCTGAGCCTGCACAGTTGTTTATCCAAGCTGAAGCAGGCCCTCACAAGCCAATGAACAACGACGAATTATTAGCCTACTGCGGCTTCCGTGTTGCCTACGCTGTCTTCAAAGACAAAGTCGAGGTTACCCAGGTAACTAAGCTGGATTTTGGTACTTTGTTAACTCAACTATTGCGCATTGGCTGCTTATCAATACACGCCGAATTCGTGGCCTCTTGTAATTACTTTCTATGCTTCTAATTTACAAATGTGTGTTGTTAATTATATATGAAGTCAGCATCATTTCAAAACGACTTCAGTTGTGGTGAGTATTACTTTGAGGGGGATGATAACTGGTCTGGATGATGCTCACACAGATAATGACGCGCCGAGGGCGTGGCGAAACGGTCATTTCCAAGGATCGTGGCACGGAAATGGTAGGATTGCGAAGGTGGACGGATGAATACGCTCGTCGATATGTTCCGCCTCATGAGCTAGAAGAAACAGTGGCTCATGCAATCGCTGAGTATAAACAGCGCCTGGAGGACGAGAAGCGGAAAGCAAAAGCACTTGAAGAACCTGACGAGGACGGTTGGGTAACGGTCACAAAACACAGGTGCGTAAACATAGACACGTGGAGAAGTGGTTTATAAGCACCCTTTGCGTACTTTTTTCATTAAATATCGAGTGTATTTTCTAAATCGATACCAAATCAAATGCGAGTTATAACTTTTAGGTTGTGTTTTATTGTAGGCTGAGAGATACATTTTTTCGATGCAATTTTCCTGTAAGTATTCAAATATCGATGTGTCCATTGAAAAAATTGATAAGTTGATACTAATAAAAATGCAAAGTAGAGAATGGAGTTTAGTCAAACCGTGCGGTGCTAATTTGCTGACTGGATTCGGTTACAGTAAACGCCCGGTCATTCCAAGAACAGAAGCAATACAGAACCGTGTGCTTGAAAGAGAGAAAGCCAAGGACTCCAAGATGAAACTCGACAATTTCTATGCGTTTCAAGCAAAACGTACTAAACTAGATAAACTGCAAGAGCTCAGACGGAAGTTTGAGGAGGACAAACGTAAAGTAGCGCTTATGAAGGCCCAAAGAAAATTCAGACCGACTTAGACAATCATTAAGCTTTCGAGTACGATACATTCAGTATAATGTCTTCGTTGCATTTACGCAGAGCGGCTAAAAATTTATTTCCGAGAATTACAACAAGCACAATCAATTTACTTTTTTAATTTATAACTTATCTCGTTGGCCCTATGAAAGTGGCATTTTCGGCTATGTTTTCGTCAACTTTCAATCTCTATGTGGGTTGTGGTTAAGTGGTGAAATGTAGGCTTTGCTACACGCGAAAATGGTGTTTTCGTACAAACCGAACGATAGGAAGCAAGTCAACGGACGCTTTCTGTGGGACTGGTCTGCCTGGGTCGATTTGCAGATCACTCGAATGTAATTGTCGCTAAGACAAGAGCAAACATTTGTGGAAAAAAATAATGGCTCGTAAACGTTGTAAAATGTACTTCATAGTTTAACCTATTTATGCAATTTAACCTATAAAAGTTAATTAACGAAGAAAATAGATTTTTTATGTAATATACATATGTATATGTAATAATATATTAGAGTAAGTTTCTCTCTCTCTCTTTCTATAAGTATATATATGTATATAAAACGCTGCTTAATTATTTTATTGTTAGTGATCTCTAGTACAAGTTCGATCTCAACACTGATCTCGGGGCATCAACAGAAAACAATTGTTGCAGTTTTTGTGAAAAATATAAACATTTTTCAACAATGTATACTACTTCATGAATTCCTTTTCTTACTTACATTCAGTGCCATCTGAATCTTCACTGTATTTTGGAACATTTGCACGTTACGGAACTTTTAGTCTGAGACATCACCCGGTTTTATATAAGCTATTTTCCTAACTCCTTACAATACCTCACACGCGAGCCCCTTGTAATACCTCGAGTCTGTAAGTATCGTCCCCAGGAATGGCAGTTTTAGATCGCAGTGTTCCAGTCACTTCACTACTTCGATTTTTATGCAGCACACCCTCAACAGTTCGCTTCAAGACCTGGTTGGCGGTGTAGACCATATTCATTGACCTCCACATTCACTTCGGCTGGGTAGTGCAAAACGTGAAGTTCCTTTACTCACCAGTGAACAGGCACAGCTGAAAATTGCAACGATCAAAGGCTTATATAAATGCGGAGCTAGCCTTTTTTGATTTTAAAGTCGCACTTTATGGGTCTTACGAGCTGCCGTTAAGATGGGAATACCTTAAGTGGATACTCTACAGCAATATGAAGCCATCCATCCGCTTCGTAGTATTCCATGTTTCAGCTAGAAATTGGCTCGCCTACTACATCTGAGAAACATCACTATTTCTTGAGGAACTGAGCCGACAGTTCGAGTCAAACAAAATAAAGGACTGTGAACGGTTCACCGCCAACAAAATGAAAATGAGCAACCCAAACCCAGATTTCTGTGCAGTTGCAGAGCTGACCGATTCCGCTTCGATGGAGTGTGGAAGGACGAACCGGCATGTCGCGACCCCTCGCGCGGTTCAAAAAGTATGACATCGTCCGCCACGATTATCGCCGTTCTGTAGCAGGTTGTCGATACCATTTAGAACACTGGTCAGCTGAGTCGCCCTTTAGCTCGTCGGTGCGCTTGCAAATGGCGAAGCTAGTTTGTCCTGTTCTTTTAAAAACGGTCGTTTTTATGGAATGATTTTACTACAAGGTGCTACGTATGCAGTATTGTTGTATATCTGCAGTCGCTGTTTGGCACACACGACACATTGTGTATCTACTGGTTTGTGTAATCGAACGCCCAAATTTTAGTAAGTTGTTCGAATATCGAAGTATATATTGTTAGGTTCGTTGAGGATTTGTTCGGGCAGGTTGCGGACATCAATATGTTATTTTCTAGCATGTCATATAGCTACACAGAGAGCTTTCAGTATTTCCTGGTCTTAGTCATCTTCCGGTAACTCAGTTACCTGAGCTACGAATAACTCTTTCAAGGGTTTTCTCTCTTCCAGCAGATTCACTCATTTCGCCAAACCGGTAAATAAAACTTACCGCTACGCCATATCGTAAGGCAAAATCTTCGAAAACACCTTACGTATTTATGTTGTGCATATCACCTTACGATATTCCGATAGCCGTGACTTTGCGTACCTTGTTTTTCCGAAACCTTCACGTTGCTCATACAAACCACATCGAACTTACAAAACCACAAGCTACATTCTATTAAGGGGCGACACAAATTCATCTGTTAAATACACTTACATATAATTAAATGGCCACATACCCTGCAGAGCAAGAATCACTAGAAGGCCGACTATGGTAATTGAAACGGCAAGAACGCACAACAGCATCGTGGTAAGGCCAGTGACCTGAAGAGCGGGTGGTTTACCCAGGGGCGTTGCTGCGAACTCATTTGAAGTGACGGAACCTGAATCTGGAACAATTCCGGGCTGAGGATTCTTCGTAAACTCCGGTCTTGCGCACTGTGTATCATGTGCGAATTGTGTGTAAATGCTGTCCGACACTTTGTCGGTGCTTTCTTTCGGAATGGTATCTGTTTCAAAACTGCCTGTACCATTAAGGAACTTGTGAACTTTACCAGAATTGGCATTCGAGAAGTTTTGACTACAAATTGCTGAACTGTTCTTTGTGAGGGATACTGACGTCGTGCCACGTCCAAATACTGAGACCATTCTAGCTCTGTTTTGGTGAATGTCTTCATTCGTAGCCTTGACATTGTCATCGGGAATTAATTGAGCGCCCGAGAAAGACTCGATAGCTTCGCAAAATTACCTTATACATCTGGTTTTGAGAGCTGACTGTCGAAAGTCCGCCGCAGTCGCGCTGGTGGACTTAACAGCTGTTTGCGGCAGACTTCGTTCTATCGTTGTAGTAACAAACATGGCTGATTAGCTGGCTATACAACCTTGTCAGCTTGAACTCTGATAATATCCATATCACAGAAGTGTCATTGAAAACAAAATGTCCGAAAAAGCTAGATGTATTTTTTACCGAACATTTTAATCCCCGAAATTTGCATTGCCAGCATGACTGGTACAAGTGTATATACATCATGCAACGTATATATGTAATATAATGAATGAATTGAGTTCGGTGATACTCTATGAACAGGGAACGCACAGTCCTCTATTCCGCGCAGTATTTACAACGAAGATTATTCGAGACTAATAGATGAACCATGAGCAGATTTGTTACATTGTAATGTATCGGTTAGAGTTCGATAGTGGTTGCCATAAATGGTCCACAGTAATTCCATTTCTAGTCTAATAATTTCCTCTTTTCTCATATACTGTGAAAGCACGAACTTCAGAGAATGAATGGCGAGTAGTGATTAGTTCATAAACTTGTACGCAGATTATTTTTTATTATCTGCAGATGTATGTGAGGCTTAATACAGTACTCATTGTCCCTGATATTTTTAGCATCACTTTGGTTCTATACTGGAACGCCTATAATTGGAAGAGTGTTGTCTAGGTATTTTCAAGCACTAGCGCTAATTCATAATTTGGCATAATTTCTTCATGGTAAGGTTAACTTCGCACAAAAGTGCTTTAATTTAATGGAAGAAGTATGGGTAATTCTGCCATTAGATTAATTGTAACAGGACTAGATGGCTGATAAGTATCCTCATCAAAAGTCATAGTAGAAATTTCATTCACCCGACTCTACAAAACTTTGATACGGAAGAGTCGAGTGGAACTTAAAACTTGAAAAAGACAACGCAAAAATGAATTTAAGTACAAAGATTTTATATGAGTAGCATTCAGCACGTGGCTGATTGGTGTGCTTCCATTAGCGTGCAAAACAACTAAACATAACTAAATGATTGGCCTCTTTCATCACTAATGCGTTTTAACCTCGATTACTTAGGGCTAAATATAGTACGGTCATTTCTAGACTATGTCCGTAATAAGATCTAATATTTTTTGCCTATATTTTATGTAATTTAATGTAAAAAAGCAACACTTTATGTAATTAAGAAAAAATCAGCTTAAGTAATCATTTTAGTATGATTTTATTTTTTTTTTTGAATAATGATATGTACAATTGAAAGACTTACCTTTAAGGAAGGAAAAAATCGTAAACAATCGGCCAACATTGCAATATTCCAATCAGAGTGTAAGCACACCACTTAAATGAATCAATATAGCAATGTATAGTCTGTATTTCTTATTAAAATATTTTCATATTGATAAAAGTTAACCTTTCGTAGCTCGTTGTAAATAATGATAAACATTTTTCGATTCTTGCCTTGCCTATGAGTGCAGTACCTGCTAAACTTCAGTGCATTTTCACTGAAACTAATTTCTGGTTAAAATTCTCGGTAGCTATCATTGGATCTCAGAAGCCAAATGCCCCGAAGGGAATCGCAGTGCTTTCCAGGCTGGGAGTTGCATGCCCCAAGATCTTTTTTCGATTGCGATTCAGTTCCAGTAACTCAAAAAACTCGCGGTTTCTTGGCAAGTATTCCAGACACCATTAGTTTAGAATAGACTGGTAATAGATGTAGATTATATTTCATCAAAAACAGATGATACTACTGTATCATCGTATCCAATAAGATGATACCGAAACAGATTATATAACAGGGCTGCAATTAAGCCTGATATACTGGGCTACTCACCTGATTACCATTCACTGATATAACGTCTTGAAGCTTCGAAGCCCCAGACATGCTGCTAATTCTGGTTGGCCTTAGAGGAAAACTTACCTCCAGTGCTCTCTATTAATCATGGATATTTGTCATGGCGCTGAAAAGGCGGAGAGCGATTGGACAGTTCTGTCTGACATGCATATGCAGTATGAGACCCTTAAACAAACATTGCTAAAAGTATTCCGCTTTCGGAAACAACTGCAAAAGACAAGATTATCGTTTTAGGTAATTTTATCAGTTTCTCTTGTTTTTTTAACCTTAATGTTGATACGATGGATATGATCAGTCAAGTCCAACTAAAACTATAGGGGCAATATCGCGTCATCAAGTCAATAACCTGTTTTATTTGTTTGAAATTTGAAATACCAGTCATTAAATATCTACATGTATAATAGCTACATATATCCGCTTGTGTCTTACTCGTGTAGCCTCTTGTCCACTTTTTCCGCCATATTCCGTCTTAGCCTTCCATCGCGTCATTGTTACAAACCTTCACCTTCACCTTGTGCTCCTTTGGCCTCCTTCTTTATGCGCTCAGCTGCTATCGTCTGCATTTTTATAAAACACAGTACTCGTTTTCAAGGTCACTTTGTCTTTCTTTCTATATGGCCTGAGCATGACAAACCGAGCGTATCGGCCAAACAAACCCTCCCGCCAAAGAAAGGGTCGCTATCCACTGTTGACTCAAACATGGTTGACAGAATCTTAACGCACCCGTCTTTGTCTTCATCCTGCTGCCTCTGGCAGATCGGCGTGCTGCCTGTTTTTTTCCCAAAAATGACTTCGTTGGATGCGTATCTATGTGTTGTAGTGTGGCTCTGTACGTTAACGCGGATGTTCGCCTCGAAGACCATTGGAGGATCCCTCGCCTTCTCCGCCTTTTTGCCCCTTTTTCCTTTATCTTCTTCTCTGCATTGCTCGCAATCGGCATTGGTAGCTGATCGGGCCCCTATACCTTGGTTACCTATCCCCCACGACGTCATGAACCGCTATGCTAAAACCGGTGGAATAAGGATACCCGTGCTGGTCAGTCAATGTCCGCCTCGTGATCAGTCGACTTGGTCCAGCCGGTCAGCCAAGAGAATGTAGTGTGCGGCGTAGCGTCTGATAGCCTCTAGAAGTTGGTCGTTAGTGCTGGACACTAATGACATCGGTTACACGCTTCAGTGGACAAGGCAAGAACAAGATCAGGAGCAGCAAGAGGGGTGTAACAGAGGAGGAGTGGTGGATAAAAGCACCCGAGGACAGAGCGTGGACGTCAATGATTCCCGCCACCAGCATCGGAAACAGGGCAGCTGCTCAACTAACAGTCGACCACAATAACAACAATAACAAAAAGGCCGCTGCGACTCGAGGAACGCCTCTCGCAGGAATTCTGCCTTGAGGGAGCGTGAGGACATGCATTGCCTTGCTTTGCTTTGCCTGAACGCCGCAGAGACAGGGGCAGCGAAGATGGAACGGGTCAACGTAACAATGGAAACATGAGAAGGTCGGGGGTGATGGGAGGCTTAGTGCAAGGTTGGTTAGACGTTATTAGTAGTGGAAACTGTTTAGCTGTGGATAAGCACAATGAGATCAGAAAGTCAAAGGATGAAATTGGATTTTTTTTGACGTTTCAGTTTGATTCTTGGGTTTAAAGAAGATGCTGCACCAGCCAGTACTGCCTGGGGAAAATGTACTACCAGTAATAAATAAGTTACTAGGGCAAAAGTTTCTTCGGCATTTGAAAATTTCTCTGGCAGGGTCACTGGTGCAGATATTACATCGGTTTATGTGCATTTTGCTTAGTTTGTGCCTTAATTGAGACGTTTATTAAAACACATTCATATTCCGAGCCGAAAAACGAAGTTGATGAAGTAGGCGACATACGATTCTGCATGTGCGTCGCTAAAATGCTGATTATTATTAGCCGCTGATTATTATTTTATTAAATATTATGCTGATTATTGTAGCCGAAACTACATGTAATATAAGGATATGTAGGACATCTATTGTTGACATTATTTTCAGGGTTAAGAAAGGTCAGGTTGATATATTTTTACTTTTCCTTTAGCAGTATATTTAGTAGTATTGGAAATATCTGTAGCTGTGATTCAAAGGTATGTACTATTTTGTTAGTGCTTTATGTAAGTGAAGTTTAATGATTTATCATTCTTATCATACAGTAGAGTCTAGTCACTGGCGGGTTATTAGTTCTTTTATCGCTTTTACACCAAAGGCAAGAATCGCCTGTATATTTCATATAAACATTTTTTTCTTTTCTTTTTTCTACTTCTTATTTTAATCGCGGGTAACCACGGTTTGGGAAATATTGCAGTTATCAGTAGCTTTTCTTCTATCCATAGAGAAATTAGGCTAGTCTGTCGCGTTTTTTTCTACACTGGCTTCTTGGCAGCTGTGATGTATAAAGTGGACTCAGTTATGCCCTTTTTTAGATGATTTCCGTAGTAATAGCTTACGATTCAGATCAGAGATTATGCCATATGTACCAAGTAGAGGCTAGGAATCAGCCGCGGGTTCAAATTTTTTACGCAGTGTCTTCGCTGTGCATGACGATAGCAAGGAAGACATGAGTTGATCATCGGTAAACAATACTTTGCATAACTTGTTACCCGAGAATCGACGGTCACGTAAGGCGGATGCAGTTTGTGAGGCCAACAAGAAAAGTCTTCTCCAAAATAACAACGGACTATGGGGAAAAGGTGTATTGATGTTAGGCACAATGGCTGGAGTAACCCACATTTTACTTGACATACAGCCAGCAGGGCTAGTTCAAACGCGGCAGGTGCCACCAGGCTATTTATCGCATCTTGAAGGAAACCCCAGCAAAGACATTGAACTTATATCGATAACTATTTAGGTGTATCGCCACAGCAAGGGTCGATGCGAAAAAATAGTTCAACTGTTGGAAAACAGCTGGTAGCGTTATTTTCGTGACGGCTTCGCCTTCACGGTAATATAATAAAGGCTAAGAGACTACGTTTCGTCAAGATCTAAATGAACAGCCAGTAATAGAAAACGTTCTGATACCAATACGTAGACAGCTGAGCGAAATTTATAGAAGTAATACTAGTAAGATTAATTGAGAGTCATATTTATTAATATTAGATAACGTTGCAACATCGACTAAGACGCTCATCGAATTCGTATTCGCGTGGAGGAAACTTTTAGACTTGATTTTTAGCCATATTAATATCAATCAGCTGAAAAGGGTCTGCATAAAGTATATTAATACAGTCCTTTTTTAGAGGTTTGGGGTTTTCGTCAGTCATATACAAGCGTATTAGAGGATCATGCGTTGAGGGGCCGTTTCTCGTATGCAAAAAAAATTATTTAGTTACTGCCTGAGATGCTGCTTGCGCTGGTTAACTGAACAGCCTGAAAGCATTAGGAATAAACGCATAGAGAATCCACCACGTGGATTCGCCAAAATTCGGCACGTAAAGCCTCGAATGCGGCTTTTGTTTTAGAATGTGATCATCTTTTTTCATTCGCGCAAATTGTCTAGTATGTGTCGTACACGAGACTTAAAGCAGCAACGCCTGTTTTTTCAAGCAGGGGCTCGTTGTCTAAGTCTCAGAATACGAAGCAAAGTGGGAACCTGTACAAGAAAAGATTGTAAACATAGTAAATTGTAGGTCAAAGGAAGTTACAGTCGTAGTCGAGGCTCTACTATTCCATAGATCAGTTCAATAAAAACCGAGCCGGAGCTTATACTGTGATTGCTACAGGTTTTTTTGTCGAACAAAAGTTGAATAACAAGTCTTTTGGCATATAAGTGATCTCCTGTACGAAGCCTACAAAAGATCTCTGTTTTTGTTTTAACTAAATTTGGTACGGTTCCAGTCCCGAAGAATGAGTAAATATTGTTATGGCTTCGAGCATACCTGACGCTGTTCTTTATATTTGTTACATATTATATTTAGTTAATGTAGGAATTATCTTTTTGCACGATTCTGTGATCCACACGATAGAAAACACTAAAAAAGAATCATTGTTAACATGAGTGGGGATGTTACACCATAGAAAAAGTGTTCGCTGCTTATAAAAACAGGCCTCATAATGGTTCAGGCCATCTGACTCAATCGCTCTGAATCAGGGCCTACGTAACTAAGGTAGGACATGTATAAAATGGATAAAGATTTATAGTCTAGATTATTTACCTTTATAAAGCAATTGATGAAAATCGGTTCGCCATCAGTTCAGTCAACGGCCATTATGATCTGGCGGTTGATGATTTTTTAGAATTTACAATAGGCAACTTTCATAAAACAATAGAAAAGTCGATCATTTGTC